GTTAGAAAAAATGCTTTGTTCTTCAACATTGGGGATGATTTCAGATTGCAAATTGGATCTAGTTGGTACCTACCTATCATTGAAGGGTGACATTAAAAGTTACTTTCTTAATAATTGGGAATAACTTTTTACTAGCATCTTCTATATGACTATATTTTAATATATGATCTACATTTCAATTATTTGCTTATTATAGACATTTTGTATTTTCTATTTATTTTTCCACTAAATTAAGATTTTCACTTGGCAAAAATTAAAAAAAATTGAATAATATGTTCACATATTTTTTTTTCCTACCTACCTACTACTATTTCTGACTTTAAAACACATTTTTAATCTCAATTTTTTTAAACACCTTACACAATTGTTTAAAAATAATTTAATAACAAGGCGTGATATACGATATACCTACCTATACCTACTTATATATTAACGTAATTATTTATTAAATTATTAATAATTTTATGTAGTTTACCATGTCCCCATATGATGCGTCCATGACCTGTTTATTTATGTGACTTAAAAAGAATACCATACATTTCATCATTATATAATTTATATACATAATGTATTTTAACTTCGTTATTTTCTGTTCTATGTATGATGTATCTAATGGAAAAATTAATTATCTACTTAAGCAATGTCGTAGCGATTCAAATGTCTACGTCTGTTGTCGTCTAAAGATTTCTTATTTTTTCAATATTTGTATTGCTTTGTAAGTTTAAGATAGGTAGGTACGTCATTTTTTATTTTTGTAATTTTCTTCATTATCTAGGTGAGTAGGTACAGGACCTCACTTTCCACCTCACCCAGGTACTCACAGCTCACGGCTGCTTCAGGAGCTACCTCGCTAGATTCAACCGGGCAGACGACAGCTACTGCACCTACTGCATGCACACAGACGACACCGCCGAACACACGCTGTTCGTCTGCCCGAGGTGGGTAGATGAGCGCTCCACTATGGTCAGTCTTCTCCGCCGACCCCCCCACGCCGGTGACGTTGAGGAAATTCTCTGCGGCCCCCGCAATGAAGAGTTACCAGACGACCTGGCGGCGCGAAAGAGAATACTCGATCAGGCGAGAACGAACCGCCGGGAATTTATCACCATGGTCGAATCGATCATGGCCGAAAAGGAGGAAGACGAACGGGACGAACAGCGATGAAGGACGGACCGAAGACGCCCTCCGCAGTCGCAACAGCGACACGTCGGAGGTGTCACCGACCACCGCTCCTTCATCCCCACCCCCCTGTGACACCACGGGAGGGTAAGGCGATCACGGCATCGCAGGACGAACGGGTACCCCAGGGCGGCGGACTCCGGTCGGCCCGCCAAGACGGGCACGCACGGGACTCCAAGGGCGGCGGACTCCGGTCGGCCCGCTAAGACCAGGTACAGAACAACCACACCCAAATGTAGATGAAGTGTATAAACTGTAATGTAAGGGGGGGTAAGTCGGGGAATTGTCCCGTCTACCTCCCCCGTATGTATAAATTTTGATATTTCAATAAACGATGGCGGCGCCGCGGCAGTAATGCGAAAGCAATTCCCGCGGCGCCGTCGGTTAAAACTGAAAAAAAAAAAAAAAAAAAAAAAAAAAAGGTGAGTAGGTACAGACATTGTATTTGCATTCTCTTGGCCATTGCATGGTTTCGTTTGCCCGTGTGGCGTCCTCTTAAAATAATATTTTTAATTTTAGTACGAATTAACTTTTAAATTTAAAATTATTTTCAACTGCACTTATTTTTTATTCTGTAATCTTACTAATAAACGTTGAAATTCTGCAGCATATAGTCTGTTGAATTTATACTTCTGAAAAACGCAGTAGGTCGCAAATGAGTACCTCCACTGAAACCTGTATAGGTAGGTACCTAATTTATTATAATCGCAGAGCAGACAGTCACAGGACCATAAAATAATAGTGTTTATTATCGACAAGCTTAAGTATATTTTTAATCAAACTTGCATAGATGTACCTATATTTACTGAAAAATACATAATTGTATTTAAAAACAAACTGAAAGGCAAATATTTGTACACTTATTATATTATTACATATTAGGTATAAGTGTAGTAGTTACACATATATACACAATAGATATAGCCGATATAGGTATAAGTCGAAATACACTGGAATAGGTAGGTACCTATCTTTTTGCTGGAGCTTTTGTCATTTTGTCAGTTATATACAAGTGCCCATCCGTGACATCAATCCAAGGGAGCACCCGCCCCCCACCCCCTCCCCAAAAAAATAATAATTTGGTGATATAGGTATTTACGTGTATATGGGGATCCTAATATAGTAGCTAGAAGCCTAGAGGTTATATACTCAACATCAGTGTTGTATAGTATTTGAGTAAAAGTAATTGAGTAAAAGTATTCAAATACTTTTTTCGGTATTGAATACTTTTTTAAATACTTTTTATTTTGAAGTATTTGAATGGTATTTTAAATACTTTTTTTTACTATTTAATACTATTTTATTGAATACTTTTATTTAATTTTTTTTATTCTCTAGGAGACAGCTTATTGTCGACGATGATCGAAAAGATACATCTGTAGTCGGTATCACTATTAGCTTAAGTTAACAAAATATATATGTAAAAAGCTTCTACTTAACGGCTATTATATTTTATAGTTTATAATTATTTAACTATACGAAAATAATGTTAATAATTATTAGTACCTACTGGCTAGTGACTACCTATTTATCAAGAACATTTTTATCAATTATTATCATTATTGTTTATCGATGACGGTATGAGATATCCAAATACATAATATAGCTTTAAATTAATATAATAACTCTGTTGAGAAAAGTTCATTGTTGTAGTGCAACTAACATGACTAATCAGAATTTTGATTATTGAACGAATCATGTTTTTAAAATGCAATAAACACATTTTTGATTATAACAGATTATTTCAGAACTAAAAAGTAAAAAGAATTTTTTTTTGTATTTGAGGATTATTTTAAATACTTCTGAAAAGTATTTGAGTATTACTCAAATACTTTACTATTTATAGTATTTGGGTGGTATTTTAAATACTTTTTTTTAAGAGTATTTGAGTAATTACTTAAATACTTTTAAAAAGTATTTTTTACAACACTGCTCAACATATATAAATATATTATTGTAAATATAATAATGTAGGTACCTACTGTATATTATAATTACCTAACTCATAAAGCAGTAAATAGACACATGTTTGGAATTGTAAAATTATTAATGATGGTGAGTGGGGGCCAGCGACATATTTAAGGAGGGGGATTTGGGGGATAAACGACCCCCACATGGTCTTTTTTTTGCTATTATTAAAGAAAATAAGTACATATAGGTACATAGACACTAAATTGTGTTTAGTATTTACTATTCACTATCTTAATGTATTTTTCAGTTATGTAAATTAAATTTTAAAAAAATCAGTTAAAATTTTAACTGTTAATAGGCCACTGAAACTCCTCTGTCACAAATAGTGCGGTGAGTTTGTGCGATTCATATTCTATCGTGCTGTAGCTGTTGTATACTGTTGTAGCTGTTGCTGTATGCGGGCCGCACTCGATGCACCAGCAGGACGCGGGTGTATTAGTGTATTACTGTACAGTAGTTGTAAATTTTTAATATAAAAACAAGATATTTTTATACTAAAATACCAATATTGATATACAGTATTGGTATTGATATACCTATTATATTATTATGGAATGGTTTAGTGCAGAGTTTTCAGTACAGTTCCAGTCCCTGGTTTTAATATTTACATTTGCAATACAATGTTTAATGTAGAATGTCTTATGTTATACTATAAACTTACTATATTTTATTATTTACCAGTTATAATAATAAAAATTTAAATAAGGTTAAATTTGAAATAATTGACACAATACACCAATACCTTTGTTAACATTAAAATAATATAAATTTAATTAAGGTTAAATTTGAAGTAATTGATACAATACGTCAATACTCAATGCCTTCGTTAACATTAAAATAAAAAAATTAAAAAATAACATTGTTTTAACCTTTAAACTGTTCAAATTGTATATAAATTAAAATAGTAGTCACAAAACTTATGTAATACATTCAGTGTATTATAAAATAAAATAATAAAAAAACAATAACATTAACTTTCATAAAATTTAATTATCCAATTAAAAAATATATCAGTCAAAAAAAGTGATTTGCTTAAAATTTCATTTTTTTTTTCCTTGGTGATTTGCCTAAATAAAACAAAAATCAAAATGCATTCATCAAATTCAATATAAAAGTAAAATAAAAAAAAATTATTTTTTAAAAACACACTTTTCTAAAAAAAACAAAAAAATAATGAAAAATTTAAAAGTGTGTGGTATAATATGTCAAGTTTAAGAGCGCCACACACTTTTAAATTTTTCATTATTTTTTTGTTTTTTTAGAAAAGTGTGTTTTTAAAAAATAATTTTTTAATTTTTTATTTTCTACTTTTTAGTTAAAAAAAATTTTTTTACGGATTATTGTATTGTCATCCAAGACCAAGGTCTATACAAATTTTCAGAATTTTTCATCTTCAAAAAGTGCCTCAAATCGAGCGCGCAAGATTTGATCACAGACAGACGTGTAACCAAACTTAAGAAAAGTGTTAAAAAATGAATAATTTTAATTGTAGACATGGATATAATAATAGTGTTGGGTAGCTTGACTGCTTGAGTATCAGCACATTGATTATATCCGCGAGTTTATGTGACACATTTGTAGATTGGGAATAGTGGAGGGAGGTGTTACAAATGTATTATTAGTATTTTTATGAATATAATTTTCTTATTAAGGAAACTAGATGGATTAAACATTTAAGTAAAAAAAAAAACAATGTTAACCATATTTTATGTGGTAATAATTAAATAACTTGATCTTGTGGGAGAAGGATAAACATAAAGCAATATGTTTCATAAATTTTACTTTTTAATTTTTACAAATGTTCTTCCAGAACCTTTATTGCTAAAATCTTAATTTCAGGACCAAATGTGTTATAATTTCTTTTCAGTTGACATTGGAGGTATCTGATTACCCTCCTAATCATAAACATAATATTTAATTATTAACTATATTCTATAATACAATTTGTAATTAATTAAAACCAACTGTTCACATACAAAATTAGTATGATCATCACCTATATAAATGCTAGTAAAGTAGTAAACAGTTCTTCAGAATACACACAAGTTGTAGATAGGGGGGAGGGGCTTAAGGGCTTAAGCCCCCCTCCTGAAAATCAAATTGAAAAGTCAAAAGTTTGATCAAAAGTAATATTTCCAGTAGTTTTTAGGCAAAATCAGTTTTCAACAAAATCAATTTTTGTTTGGGTGTAACTCTAAAACAAACAACCGTTGATAAAATATAAAGTTTTCACTGAATGCTTATATTAGCATTTTCTTTACACCAACAATTATTCAAAAATTTTCAAAATATTTTGACTTGTTTTGAGGTGTTTACGGAAATTTTCAGATTCCAATTTTTTTAGTTTTTTTTTCCTATAAATGTCTTTAAAATTGTATTTGTTGCCTATGGGGTCAAAAAGCGTGAAAATTTAATACAAGACTTCTGATATATTGTGACAATAGCAGTTGAAAATAATTAAAAATACAAAGGCACATTTTTTTTGTTATATGCATTTAAACTCTAAAGTTCAATTTTTAACAACAGTTAACTATCAAATTTAAAATTTAAACTGAATATTCTCTAATCATAAAAATTAATTCTTTTCAGATTCCGTAGACTGTAATGGAAAAGTCGTCTTCAATGATTTACCCCTATTCATCTGCGTTAAATCAATAAATATATGTAAAATCTAAAATTTGGGTCTCTATGTGAAACTCTAACTTAAACTATACTCTTTTCCACGAGAGAACGGTACCGGCGTCCGCCGCAGCGCATCCCCCACCAACTATCAGTTGTAAGCGTGATCACGTGGTCGTCCAAGTACCAATCAAATCACTTTACATGCGCGAAACGGTACTGTTCTCTCGTGGAAAAGAGTATAGATGAACATGACATGGTAGTAATTATTTTATTTTTACCTTGCATTCTGAACATTCTACTGTGTCTGGTTGTTGAGAACAAGATAATTCTGAAATATGTCCACATTTCATTATTATTGGAATAGGATATGTACATAAACCACAATTTACACCACATGGTTTCTTGCATAAATGCCTAAATAAACAATTTGAGTTAGATTTGTTACATACTTCAATGCAATTAAATTGTTCATAGCATTTTTTCTCAAGTGTGTGCCCACAATTTAATATTTTTTTAACCTAGAACATAAACAATTATCAAAAACTAAGACAGTTGATAAAATTTTTGTTAAAGGGATATGAATAAAAAAATAAACCTTGATATCACATTTCATATATTCTATATCACTGCATTTTCCCTGAACAATATGCCCACAATTGGTAATTTCATTAATCAACTCTTGACATAAACACTCTTCATGACACATTTTACGGCATTGATGATCTCTAGGGCATTTCCTAAACAAAACATAAAAGATTGTTGTTTAAAACTATTGATTAGGTACTCAATTATTTTATTATTATTATTTATTAAAAATTCTTACCTATTGCAAACATTTGAACACTTAACCATTAAATGGCCCCTATCTTCAATATGACATAATTCCTTACATAAATGCCCACAAGAAAGTTTAACATTACATTTTAATTGACATCCAGTTAATTTTTCAAAATCTAAACCACTTGATGCACTTCCTATAACTTTGTTATGAATTTGACACTTCAACAATAATTTTGGACCTATATTATAAACACAGAAAGTAATTACCTATTTATTATCATATAGTTTATCTGAGATCGCCAACAATAAGAGCCATGAGCTGCACAACATAATAAAAAAACATGTAAGAGCCAAGAACAGGGAAAAAAGGTTTTTAATTACCTTAAATAAGATAAGATATCAAATGTAAAAATAAAAATGTAATAAAATTAGTAGTATGTGAAATAAAATAATAACGTACAATAATACCTATGTCAGATTAAATTTTGTATGGGACTTATTTGTCTTCATATTATTAAACCTATTATTATAATAGTAAAAATGTTTTGATATGACAAAAGCTGCAGTTTGGCCACGTCTGCACTCTGCATATAAAACAGCAATTTTCAACCATAAGGTCATGGGCCAATTTTGAGCAGCAAATAATTTTAAATGGGTAGCCAAAAAATTGATAATAGTTTCTTTTAGTTATAGTTATTGAAAAAAATAAAGGTGGTGGAGTGTGGGTAGGGCCCCACTGAACATTATTTTCAAAAAGGTTGCATGAGAAATTGGATAAATATCTTGGTTTTCCAACACACAAAGGCTGGTATAAAATATCCTTATAGTAAAAAAAAACCATGTATTCAATACGTTCAAATTGATATAGATTTAATTGGATAATTAGTTTATTTATTTAAAATGTAAACTAAAATGTAAATTATTCAGACATTGGGGTGTTACATAGTTTAATGACAATATACAGAAACAGATAAATTCTTACCCAATGCATTCAAACTGCATAAGTATGTTTTAATACTATTCCACAATTTGCTGGCTCTAGCAAGTAATTTCAAATCACCAGCCATATAAAATCCCAATCTAGCTCTTGATAAAGCAACACAAACTCTATTATTGGTCTTCAAAAATCCAATACTATTGTTATTATTACTACGAACTAATGACAATAAAACAATTTCATTTTCTTCCCCTTGATAGGCATCCACTGAAGAAACTCTAATGTTTTCCAAATGTTCAAAAGGTGGTGAATTAATCAACTAAAAGAAAATGGTATTATTACAAATGGATAATAACGCATAATATGTATACTTAATTTTACATTAGAAATGTATACGACTTGAGCATTATACATTGCCATAATAGTTATATCTTCTGGATAATATCCTTGCTTTAATAGATAATCTGCCAATGCAACCAAATAGTTTGCCTCAACACTATTAACGAAACTGGATAACTCATTGTTCTAATAAAATCAACACATTAAATAATTATTTTAAAATTTAAGTTTGAGAATTCTACTTTTTCTTCATGAACATTATGAGTCATGCAAAATATATCCATTCCCACTCCTTTAACATGTGGCCGTTCCATAACAGATACATGGTTTCTCAAATATGGATAAATAGTTGGTGCAACCAAGCCTGCAATTTCTGGTCGCATGCGGTGTTGTTCAGCTAATACATATGATGGAATTTTATTGTTTACCATACGTTCAAACAATGAAATGTCAAGTCGATATTTTTTGCCTATGTTATGATTAGCGGTTTGAGGACGCAGTTGTTTATGATCACCTAATAAAATACAAATAAATAATAATTTTTGAAAGTTGAATAATCAATATTTTAGAAATTTTAATGTTTATAAGATATATAGCTTAGGTTTACACCACTCCAATTTATATGAATAAAAATGGTCAATTATCTTCTTACAATATACGAAAAAACATAAATAATGTTAAAAATTTAGTTTGTACAATTATTATTATATTATAGTCTTTATAGATTAAAGAATCAATATAAATGTTCTAAATGTACAAATTATATTCTATTTTTATAGCATAAATTGAATGCCTTACCAATGAGAATAACATGTTCACAATATTCAGACAATGATGCCACAATATGAGGTTCTAGAACCTCTGCTGCTTCTTCAATTATAACTAATGAATACATAATATAATTGTATAAGAAACATTTTTATGTACCTAATTAATATAATTAAACTGAAATTATATTTACCAATTGGACATTTAAGATTTTTTAGCAAATATCTATTTTTAGCAGCGGCAGTTGTTGTCATACCAATCACATATTTATTTTGAACTGGTTTCAAAAATCCAATTGATTTAAACTTGTTCATATCTCGTCTACATTGACGAGTAGTATCTTTCATATTTTTAATACTATTATATTCTTTTGTTAAATACAAACGAACCCAATTATAATACAATAACCATCGATCTCTCTTTTCTAATAAATCACGGTTATTTTGGTTTTTATAGTTCTCAGATCTAGACTTATACAATTTTAAATGTTTGACTATGTAATCCTCTACAGTCTTCATTATTTTTAATGCATGTTCTAAATCTTGCTTTTTAGGAACTTTGTCATCTTTTTGATTATGACTCATACCATTTAATTGACATTGAATTTGAGTACAATACAGTTTTATACTTTTTAGAGTTATAAAATAAACTTTTTTATTAGCTTCATTTTTATTTGATTTTGATAACTGAGTAGCAAGTAATTTATCTTTTTTTATAAAGTCTATAGGGTTTATACCATTAACAGCAGAAATATCATGTAATAACCACGCAAGTAAATCATATGAATCTTGAAACCATGTATTAAAACCACTTTCTTCAAGCACTTGTATAAGTAAAGACAAATCAACCACACCTTCATTGCGATCAACTTCTTTAATATTAAATAGATGCTCATTTTCCTTTTGTATTGAAGTTTTTACATTTCGTTTGGCATCCACATATATGTTAGCACACTCATCCTTGCGAGCTACACTCATATTTGGAATATAGTTCACTAAAATATCACTTTTAGTACCACGTCCAAATCTTGAAATATTTCTTGTTATTTTCCATATACCCTCAAGAAATTGATCTAAGGCATGATTTGTCATACAGACAACCATAATAGGGTGCTTGATTTTGTTTGTATCATACATGTTTTCAATAATAATCTTCACAATTTCTAATCCAATATAAGTCTTGCCAGTACCAGGTGGTCCTTGTATCATAACAAATTCTTTAGTTAAAGCCCCTTTAAATGCTTCATATTGATTGATATCCATATTTAATATTTCAGCTGAAGGCCATTGGTCATTTTGAAGAATATCAAATGTAATCCCATTAATAGTGTAAATAGAATTGCCTACTAAATAACTAGGATAGGATATTTCTTTTATACCATGAATAATATAATTCTTCATTGGGAAATTTGTTTCACACAAGTCTTGGAATACTCCCAGAACATATCTGTAAGGTTCGTAAAAAACCTGCGGTTCCAATAAGTCAATCGATATCCATTTATTTACTTCTTCAAAATCAACAACATCAACACCAACAATGCCTTTATTTAATCTAAATGTATCAGTTATAATTCCTAGGCTGAATGTAGTAAATTTATCTTTTGAAAGTAACAATAAAGCACCATTTTTAAATCGTTTACTATTTTCATAGTTAAAAGCTTTAGCATGAATAGGTGTATCAAATCTAAAAAACATTGTTACAGATGAATTTCTCTTCGTTTCAATTTTCACATTGGCATAGTACCACATAGTTTGTGTATCTAATCCTTGTTTGTAAGTTTTTAAAGTATCTCTAATTACTGAAACAAAATCTTCTCGCATTAGGCGAAAAAAGTTATTTAGGTATTCATCACAACTTGCATATGGGCGGTTAACTTGATTTGCACACAATGAAGGCGGTCCATCGGTTATATCTTCTAGTGTGGGATAAAGTGGAATAAGTCTATAGTCGTCCATGTCCACATGACTTACAGATTTTAACATTGATGATTTTGACAAATCATTTTCTAACCATTTATACTCAAGTGTATAGTCTTGATTTTTTTTTTTCGTCATAATGAATGGATATAACCTGAATGAAATAAATGTAATTTTATATTTTATATACAAAATAAAACTTAAAAGAATAATATTATATAAATATATTTCAAGTTTGATAGGTATCTTATACTATTTAATAAAATGATACCTTGACCCCCTCTAACAGACTCAATTAGGACATTATTGGAATTTAATACGTTTAATAACAGCCATTAATGACTAATCTTAATTAAATTTGATTAACTGAATACTGATAATATTACTATGTTACTGTTAATTTTGTGAGATACTTTGTAATTTTACAAAAAAAATTTACTTTAGGTCTCATTGATGACATAAATATCATAATTTCTTGAATGAAAACTAACAAAAAAAACTCAACTATTACCAACAGAAAATCAAATAACTAATTGATTACTTATAAAGTTCTACTTTTGATTTACAACACCAAGGTAAATATTTATATAACACAACCAATATAATTATTGAGTAATATATATTATTATATTACGACAAATTATTAACACTTCAATATAATTAATATAATTTGTCATTATTAACAATGTTAATATTATGTTATATGCATTTATCAGTCCATGACACATATTATATTATAGATCAATAAAAACAATTACATTAGGTATATTATTTGTTGACAATTAATTATATAACTTTAATTTATCATAATTATCATAATATGGTATTTGAACAAGCATTACAACTCAAGAGTCAAGATTAACAACAAATAAACTTACTATAAAATAAAGTTCATAGCAAATGTCATTCTGAAGAAACCGCTTAACTCTGACATATTAAATATTACAGTAAACTGCCCAATTATCAAATTTATGAGTATTAAAATTCATTTTTAGATTCTTAACGGAGACATTTTAGAAAGATTTGTTTGTTTTTTGTATGTATAGTATATACAATTAGTATATGGAACAAAAAAATGTTTCAATTTTTAACTTTTGGGGTGGTTTGTGATCGAAAATTTGATTTAGTTGATACTTTAGATAGAGGTCAATATTGAAAATTCCCAGTATTTTATTAAATAATCATGAAAAATAAAAAAAAATAAAGTAAAACAAGCATTTTAACACATAAACAGTTTTTCACAAAGTTAAATCAATAACGTAGATACTTAAAATAACCCAAATGTTTATAATATGTCATAGGTGGCTATATTCTATGCATGGTATAATTTTCAAAATATTTTGATTCTCTTTGACCTATTTATAGACTATGAAATATTTTTTTAATACCTAATTGTTGATAAAAAATGTAATACAAGGTTCCTTATAAGTTTTAGAGCTATTTAAAAATATAAGAAATAGCTGTATAAACACGATTTTTTTTTATGACAAAATTCGTCAAAATTTGCAAATTTTGTAGTTAAAGATGTAGGTATAAAATGTTTAATTTTTATAGTTAGGGCTTGAAAAATTATACAATGTTCCTCATAATTAGTTTATACTAGAACCAAAAAAATCTAAAAAATGTATATACTTATTACTATATTTTTTTTTTTAGACATTTTAGTGTAAAATGTTGACGAACCTAAGTATTTAAACGAAAAATAATGATTTTTATTTTGTATAATTTTATAAAATATTAGGATATAAATGTTTGTGTTTAATATTAAGCGTTCTGAGAGTTTCTTTTAGTTCTCTTTATTTATTCTAGTAAATGTTTTTTGAAAAAGTCTAAGCAGTGGCTATGCAGTTCCACATTGCAAATTTGTAACAAAACATAGATAATAAACATGTATGGAAAAATGTACCAATTTGAAAATCACTAAATCAATTTATTTAACATTATTAATCTCTATTAAAACATTTACAAAATAATATTGTACCTAATTTATTTATTGAGCTTCCAGATAGGAACCAAATATGAGCATACCATCTTTATGATAAGCATTAAACATCTGTATAGAAAACAGCTAATTATTATAAAGAATGGATTGACTATTTAATCTATGAATTTTCAAATAAGCAAAATGTTACATGAAACTATTATTATGTAGGCAATTATTTCAATTATTTTAAATTGAAAAATAAAACCAAAAAATATAAATGTAGGTTCAATAATATAGGTACCTTTTTTATAGTTACCTATATTGTAATACCACCGATTAAGCATGATATTAATATTGTTAGAAATACAAACATTTTGTTTACAATTTACAAATATGTATATGAGTGATAAATAAACTATATTGTGGCCGCCCGAGTAAAATGAACATTTTAAAGTTTCGATTTGAATTAAAATTCATTAACATAATAATTTAAATGGTTTTAAATAATGGATATAATTTACCTTGGTTTTTAAAAAGTATTATTCCTTCGGCTACAAAATATTCTGTTGTGTTGCGGACATGAAAATTAATGCATAGGTACGAAAAATCAACAATATCATGCAAGACTAATGACTAATCTCGTGTCTCGCCACTCGCCAGCTAACGCGTAAACGTAGGTTTTTATATTGCCAGTAATTATTAACGATTAACCACCTTGGATTATATAAAATATATACACATTGACAACAGTCAATATTTTATAATAACTAATAAGTAATAACCAACAAATAACCCTCAGATAATAGCTATTTTAGTTTAATTATACATTATTCTTATGTATAACGACAATAATAATATTATTTATACGGTGTGTGATTGCGTGGAGTAGTGGTGTGGCTCTTATTCTAAGACCGTGTGTGGCTCCATGGAGTGAAGAGATAATAATAATTATTAATACATTTTATTAATTCTATTCACGGACTAAGATATAATGGACTGGAAACGAGCAGCTTATCAGTGGCCTCGAAAGTATGTACAAGAAGCAAATGCGGGGGGTCGTAACCATAATCCAGAGTTTACAGCGCCATCAGTATTCAGTATAAAACACGGACTGAGATACAAAATATGACGCTAAATAAAACCACTGGTAGCGCTGAAAACTTTCGATTATGAGTGTTGATGAGATAACAGAGGAACCTTTTGCGGGCCGTCCCTCGTCACCCGCCCACCTTGTCGTTTCCAGTCCTTGTCGTTTTAGTCCGTGATTCTATTTAATAGCGTTAACACGATAAATAACAAAACTCAAAAGCGTACAATGTGATCAAAGACTATTATAAAAAAAACCATTATAGTTTAAAATGGATGTCAGCTGTTTGATAACTGATAATTAACAACTGACAAATGACCATAAACCACAAATTAAGATGCATTCGTGCCATAATTATTCTGGGTATACCTACTATATTATATATCAATATAATAATATTAACCTTGCGGCTTGCCGCTTGCGCAGTACTATAACTAATGTATTGACGGCAAATAGGTATTTTAACAATAATTTAACTGATAAGTTATAACCGATAAATACCGGATGGATTTAGTATTGATTAGGTACTCGGACCATTTTTACAAATTATAAATGTTGTTGGACTAATATTAATCAAATCAAATTAATATGTGTTCAAATCACCATAGCCTCCGTAATCTGCCAAATCCATTCAAGAACCTATTTATTTAATTATATTATTATGACAGTTTTATTTTATTAGATTATAAATTAATTAATATTTTTAAATAATTAGTAATTACATATTATACTTTCAAAGGTAGGTATACCTGATTTGTATGATAATAATGTTATGTAATAAAGCACTTGAATAGGTATTTTAAAAATATAAATAGGTACTTTTAAAAAGTATTTTTTACACGACTGAATATATTATAGTATTATACTATACTCCGTTCCACGAGAGAAGGAACTCGTTTCGCGATGTAACTGACGGCATTTAACGACCTGTGGCACTATTTCCTTCATTCAAACATTTCGGGTGGCAGCGTTGTATACCACTACAACTACAAATTATGTTTGATTAAGGGAAAGTGACCCAGGTCGTTATACACCGTCAGTTACATAGCGAAACGAGTCCTTCTCACGTGGAACGTAATATAATATCTCAACCAAAATTGCCCCTAATAATTTTACTATAGGCAACTTAAATTGATTTCATTTATAACCTTTTATTCTTATTGCGGCGGTGCAGGACTGCTGTTGGTACGACCAAAGAATATATTTCATTATTATTTTGCACATAACTTATTTATTCTGTTCGGCCTTAGATTATTAAGATTAGTAGAACTGAAATATTTTGTATCTATATACCTAGGTAGGTAATAATATTAAACTTTAATATTTTGAGTATTAATATGTATTATAATACCACCATTATAGGCAGGGCCGGCGTTAGGGGCAAAGCGGGACATTTGTCCAGGGCCTCGCGCATTCAAGGGCCTCGCGCTCAAAATTTACATAGGAAAATATTTTATATGAAAATCTTGTACTAAAACAAAACAACAATATAATATTATAATATTAAATATTTATGCGTCAACGTCGATCGGTATGGCACGTCGAACGGTATGGAAACCCCGGATTCCTAGACAGTTAATCGCATTATTAAATTTAATCAATCATTACCCGATATTGCGAGCTGCTGTCAAATCATTTAGTGAACGATTTAATCAATTTAAAATGTATAGCGACAATTTCAGTTTTCTATACAATATTGGTGAGCTCCAAAAAATAACTAATGACGACCTTATGAAGAGTTGCTTAGATTTACAAAATTATCTAAGTGACGGAGAATTATATGATATAGTTGCTTCTGAATTGTATGAAGAGTTACTAGTTTTTCGTCATACAATGAAAGAAGATTCTACGCCAATAGAAGCACTCAAGCACTCAGTTTTTAAAAACAATTCCTGGTGCTTTTACATTTTTCCTAACATAGTAATTTCACTCCGAATTTTGTTAACCATACCAATCACCTCAGCGTCAGCAGAAAGGAGTTTCTCAAAGCTCAAAATAATCAAAAATTACCTAAGAAACACAATTTCTCAAAAACGATTGACTGAATTGGCTACTATTGCAATTGAAAATGAAACAGCAAATACATTGAATTTTATGGACGTCATAGAGTTGTTTGCGTCCAAAAAATCAAGAAAAAAATTTTAAATATTCTATATTAATTTTGTTTTTTATTGCTTAAATTTCTAATGTTTAAATGAATTATTTTATATTAAATTTAGTACATACAATTACAGAACCTTTGTACATTTGTACATTTGTATACCTTAGTGGCTTAGTATATATTTTGTAAGTTATTTATATGTTTGTAAGTTGACAAGTGTAATACGTCCAAAAAATTAAGAAAAAATTTTTAAATATTCTATATTAATTTTGTTTTCTTACTGCTTAAATTTCTAATGTTTAAATGTATTATTTTATATTAAATTTAATACATACAATTACAGAACCTTTGTACATTTGTATACCTTAGTGGCTTAGTATATTTGTAAGTTATTTATATGTTTGTAAGTTGACAAGTGTAATACGTTTAAAAGTAATCATTAAAAAGTTGAACATTAATATTTACTAATGTATTTTTATTTCAATAAACATCATAGGTGTAACTAGGGTCAACATTTTGGGAGGGCTTAAGTCCTTAATGATTTCAAATTGTTTTATTTGGGACCCACATTTTTTTATGATTTTTTGCCTTTTACATCTATGTTCTATGCGATATGGATATTGGTTAAATAAGTTTTGCCCAGGGCCTCGCAAAAGGTAGCGCCGGTCCTGATTATAGGTACCATTTAAGTTCGACTATTCCAGCTATTTCATAACCCATACCTACCTATTTTATTCGAATGATAATATTTAAATATATTTAAATATACATAATAATTAATAATTCATAAATGTCATAGCAAAATGCATAAACCATTTATATTTTATGTATCTACAATACATAAGTCTTTACTTGAAAATTTACATTATATAATATCGTCTCGAAGAATATATTCTATTTCTGACTTTTATATCCAAATAAAGTTATTTCGTTAGTTGGTAAAATTTGTGAAATCATTTTTTTTTTAAGTCAAGCATAAAGCAATAGAGTCTTACATATAATATAGTAACGTATATTGATTGAAATATTGAAAATAAAAATGACATTGAAATGAGTTGCTACTACTACAATTTATTATTTGACACTAGCTTTTTATTTTTTATCAACTATTATTTATCCTGTTGGTCTTATCAAATTCTAACCATTTAACAAACACGGTACAGAAATAACTGAATACAGTCAAGGTACTATAATTGCAAGGAAAGGTAAAGCAAATAGGTAAGCATTTAGCATACCTATTTAAATTTAAGGAAAAATTAAAAAAAAAAAACAATTATTATATATTACGTAATACACGTACCATTATATACATAATATATAATATAATAGTACCATTTAAGATTTCTAATAATTCTTAACTTCAAAAATTATGCACAATCGACGATTCCCTAACAAAATCATCGAAAATTAGTAGCTATGCATCATTATGGCTGTATAGGTATACGGAAATATCTAACATTGAAAACTTCTTATGCCTCCGAGGTAAGTTTATATTTTTCTCCATATTACAGCTTTAAACTTTCTTCAGAGTTAAATATATATAGGTATATATATTATGATTGGTTATCTATGATTTATCGTCTCATAAGTTATAACTTAACGTTCTTACTTCTTATAACGTTGCATTAATTTAACTGACTCAAAGTGATTTGTTTCACTAACTTGACCATTTGACAATAACTAATAAACGTCAAAATACTAATCATAACGGTTGGGTATATTTTATATGCTTTGCAGAATTCGCAAACAAATTAAAATAAGCGATAAAATATCAACGGATAATTATTACCATATAACTAGTATGGTAGGTACCTACCTCTACGCTATTACGCAAATCGTATTTTGTTGCAGCCGGTCGAAAGTTTAAAATTTTCTCGCTAAACGTCTTCCCTCCAAAACCCTGAAGCCACCAGCCAGGCCGGCTCGACATCGCGTGGTAGGTAGATCCCTCACTATACGGCGCGTCGCGATTTAGGACATCGCACTGGCGCACTCGCGTCCAAACCAGACTTGCGCCCTTCCCACTCGCTGCAGCTTATTCGGAAATAGCAGCGTTCAATATATATAACGTCAGTGCCGTCCCCATTTACGAACGCTTGTTTTTTGTTTTCCTTGAGTTCGTATAAACAAAATATAACAACAATATCATTATATTCGCGTACGATCGATCGATATAACATTGTGCGACCAACGATCGAGACCAAAAATCGAGTTCTTCATATTATAATATGTAATACATTAAATTATATGCACTGCAGGATTTGTAGTATACCATTATATCTAATCGTCCTTTATACATGGAATCAATAAAGGGTGAGTAACAGTATAGGTATACAGCTAAACGTAATAAGTGTATAATAGATTATCGCTAGTTACTTTACACCTATATAATATTATATACTTATCATTATAATATATTGCAACAACTAGGTAATATTATATGAGTTTGGATATTTATTATATGCGCATGTATGCATAATAACTCGCACTCTACAGCAGTGATGCACAACAAATTGGTAATTTTCATTAATGAAATATTCAATAAAAATAACTACATAGATATATGAATATATTATCATTATATTATTTATTTATATAGAAACGTTATATAATCAATATTAGGAGCGCAATTGCAGTGCATGGGGTGTGAATACGTGATACTTTAAGAAAATAGAATAAGTGGATGGAAATAAATGTCAAATGTACTCATGTTTGAACAAAAAAGACAAATCTGAAGAGATAATAATTATATCCTAATGTACTTATATGTATTGTACCACTATATCGACCCCATCCCTTCCCGTCACTAATTCGATAGCTTCTGCAGTGTATTTACAAAATATTAATACTTACACATGAATGTTAATCTATGCATACAATATATATTTGGTACGTTTGAATCATATCGTACTACTGTACCGCATGAGCGTTAATCTGCAATCTGTACATATAGGAGGTAGCTACCATAAAGTACAAACTATAAATGTCTATAATATAACAATATTATATCATACAGGCGATGGCAAACAACACCGGAAGTAATCGAAAGACGACCGTGGGCGCGCTTTGAGAGCGGCTGCGGCAGACGATCACGTCCGGCGTATTAGAATGACGGTCCAGGTAGCTCTGCCCGGAAGGAGAATCGACCAGCCAGTGGGAATCGATTTGGTCGTATCGTACTACACGGTAGGGATCCGTGTGTATATTATGAATAACTCATTAATCATAATAGTGTATCTATAATAGTATAATAATAATATTATGATATTATTATATTTTGTATGGTCATTGGCATAGGCACAGATCACCCAAGACATTATAGAGAAAGTTAAGCCTCTCACACTCCTCATATTATATTGATATACTCCTCCTTATATCCGAAACATTTAATATCAATATTAATGAAATAAAATAAATTAAAGATTTAAACCAATATTGTATAAGACTGTAAATTTGTAGGAAAATTCATTCTCTTTATAGATTATTGTATACTCGTATATCATAAATTTCTTAACATAAAGTTTGAATTAGGTAAAAAAAACTACAAAGTAACTCAATTTAGAATCATTTTTTGCATTAAATTTTTTTTTTAATTTTAGGTCTTTCTTAGCATTTCTTGATAAATTTTTCATATTTTACTTTTTTTGATGTCGATATTTTTACAAATCCCATTTTATTAGAAACTTTTTACTCATATTTTAGATTCTGAGCGGACTAGTGGAGCGGTGAATGTATATTGATTTTACAATGTGTGCTTTTTTTAATTTGTTGTGTCTGTGTATATAAATACACGATAAATAGTCGAAAAAAATGATTCGAATTTAAACTTCAGTATCTTGTTTGATGGAAAAGTGAATCTAGTTGGTGCATTCGGGAGGTTAAAATATAAAATTCTCAATAATTTTATAGGCCGGAGGAAAAAACAAAATAAAAATTAAGGAAAAACGGGAATTTTTATGCATTATCGGTTTTCGAGGTAATTCTAAAACTATTGACCATAGATACATTTTGTTAATTGGAAGTTTCACTGTAATTATATTAGAAATATGTTATTAGTTATTACAGTGGGCATTTATTAAGGACTACCTATACCCATAGATATGTGAAATACTGAAATCTAATTGATATGTCCAAATGTCCGATAGTCAATCTTGACCCATGATACTGGCATGCGTTCAAGATTTTTAATTAAGTATTAAGATAATCACGAGTTTCGGGGTGCTAGCATTAAAATTCAAGATGTTAGGCAGCCTTAGGGCCCCTGTGATTTGCGCCAATGGCCATTGGTTAGGGAGAGAATACAAATAATATAGTGCGCTGACATCTAATTAATTATGAAACTCTAAAGTTGGCATTACACTTGGCAATTTAAAACAACTGCTTTTGGTTTAGGTGTATACCAAAAAAATAATTTTAAATAAAATTAATCGTATTTCCAGACTTCCTGTCCACGTTATCTTTTATAAGGAATTCGTTGGTCCATCGGTCAAAGACCACAAAATACGGACCTGAACTAACATTTCTCGGGAAAGATCAAAGTTGAGACTCGGGGACGGATCCATAGTGATGATTGTGGTAGGGGCCAGGGGAACAACATTCATTTGAATGACGCTACACAAATATCTGTCTTGTATATTTTTAAATACTTTATATTACATAATACATATAAGTATATAACTATGCTAGTAACAAATCCTTAATCCACCAATTATTGTTAAATTATCATCTAGAGATTATACATATTATGTAATAAATTATATAAAAAAAAAAATAAAATATTACCATAATTTCAAATTTACATTATTTTTTTTATATAATTTATATACCTAATTTATTTATTAAAAATGTCTAGGATACAAAATTTAAACACCACGCTTTTAATAATTAGGTACTTACGAAAATAGTTCCTAACCATTTTCTAGTGAATATATAAATAATAAATATATAATATAGTATTGTTTAATTTCCCCGTGTATCATCGTGCCTCAAAATTATAGATTTATAATATTATTTTACTTACATTTTTAAAATTTATTTTACTACCTATATGACGTATTCCTACCTAGTTAAATTATTAAATTAGACATTTATTTTAAAAAAAAAACGGAATTATATATAGATATGAGTGGTGTAAGAAGACTGTGATCTCTAGAGGAGGGTCGCCATCACGTGCAACAACTAATTTGAATTCAGCAGATCCAATCGTATATGTTGATACTTAACTTTAATATTAGATATAGTGAATTTACCCATTTTAATGATGAATACCACCTCTAACATAATATCTGTGTACGTAGGTTTTCTACGATATTTCTATTTATTTATGCAAATTATGAGTAGGTATGTACAATATTAAAATTTAAAAATATTCATCATATGACAGTAAAATACTAATACTGTAAAAAAACAACTTAGAAACAAGGTCAATGTTCTTAACTTTATGTTTTATAATATATCAATTTACAATAATATCAAAGCTTACAAGTAAGTAACAACATAAGATTAGTTCTCCTGATAGTCCTATAAACGTAAATGTTCTATATTATATTGCGCTTGCAGGCTAAAGAGATAAAACAAATAAACACTGTCATCCACTTTATTATAGATTTATAGGTCTGGTAACGGTTTCATTTTTTAATCGGATATTCGGATAGTCAATGTCAAGGTCTAATTTTATAAGAAATTTTCTCACACACATAATATGTAAACATCCTTCATAAATACATATATATAGGTACACAGTACACTAAAAAAACACAAGCATCATTGTATATTTGTATTTGTATAAAAACAATACATTTATTTCTCCGCTCAGGATCTAAAAAAAAGTGTTAAGACTTTATAAATTAGTAAGTTCATATTGAATTATTAAATTATTTTTAGATAAAACTCCCAGGTGGTTGGCAAAATCTTGAGTACCTACCTATAATAGTTGTCGAGCGGGGACAAGGCATTCCCTTGGCTATACTAACTACCTATATATTTGATTAATTATTATAGTTTATACTGTTTATATAATATAATAAAATAGTTTATAATAAGTAATCAAAAATATATCGTTGAATTCAAATATATTTTGATTTATATAATTAAAAAAATATTATTTATATACAAAACAAATAATTTAATAATATGGTCAATAGGTCAGCCGTCAACTTAAAAATTAAAACACACAATGGACATTGAACAGCGATAATATATTTTTTAAATGAAACAAATATTATTATTTCAAATTCTAAAATTATTTAATTTTACTAAATTGTATATTGTAAAAGTACCTACACACAACAATTACATGACTTTAATAACTAAAGTAAAAATGACAAATTATGATTTTAGTGAACCTTAATTTGTAAGAAAAGCTTACTATTTTTTAACAATCTATCCTGCATATCTAAACATATGATTGTTTATTTCAGGTAATGACTGTGGCACTTGTCAGTGGATTCGGCCTTCTGGGTTTTTTAGCTTACTGGATTAGAAAAGCTTGCTCGTAAGTTATAACCTACTGTTACAGTTTATCTGAATTAATTTTAAGTTATAAACAATAAACAGCTATTGTCTATTATAATATAGATTAGTGATTACAATATGGACATATAGTCAAATATTATACTAATAGTTCTAATGTAACCACTACCTATATTCGAATTATTAACTACAAATGATTAATTAAGAAGATTAAATAGTTGGTAGTTGGTACCTACTAAGTTTTTATACTAGTACAAATATTTTAAACAGGGCACTATGTTTTAACGATGGTTAGAAAAATTATTACAGGTCAACAGAACATTTTGTAAAAATTTACCGAGCTTCTATATTACCTATATAGATGTATACATATTATATTATAGGTATAATATATAGGTTCATATGGGATTTCTAAGTTAATATCCTATAATTATTGTTTTGACACAATCACAATTCATAAATTATTAATAATATAAAATATATCATGTGTCATGAATATTAACGCATGTGGCCCACCCTACAGCCGTTTATACATATATTACATTTATAATAGCCATACAGCGTGTTCATGTGTGGTCCAAAGTCAACGTTAGCATTTGACTTGCATAGAGCTCGAACTCACGCGATATATTCGGGCTATTGTTCGTGTGCGCACAGATAATGACCGTGGTTAATTCCCACAACACCATATACTACATTATTCGTCTATATTAAAAATTAAAATACGGAATAATACATACCTATAATGTCGACGGCCAGTAAAACAGAGCCAGTCTTAATATTTACAAAAACCGAAAGGGCCACAGCACGCACTTATAATATTACAACAACAGTGCAACGCAAAATGCCTTGGCCAAACATCAGCGGCAGCAACAACAACAACAACACTCGTACGATCATATCCGTGTTGCCACGTTCGCCCCGATCGGAAAATTGTGTCGATATCAACCCGTCGTCGTCGGACTCGGGTTCCGGCCGACCAGTTCACAGGGTGAATGGACGCGTCGCGTCCCGAAAGCCCGACCGCAGTGTCGTCAGATCGAGGACCGTGTGTCCGTTTAGGTTCCGGCTCGCGTGGTGGTCCAGGCCCGAACCTCCCAAACATTTCGAGGAGTTGTGTGACAACTGTAAATTCGATCGCGGACACAAGTTAGGGAAACTTCATCCTCTTTTTGTTGCATCCCCTCCCCAGACGACGAAATTTTATTGTCGATGAACAGTATCTATTAGAATATAACGATCCCTCATTTTCGGTTTGTTGTGCATTGTAGAAATGGCAGCCGGTATCAGTACACGGCGTTGGAACCGGATTCAATGGGACAGGAACGGATGGAACTGGAACGTAAAGCTAGACAACACGCTCAAAATGCATGTAAGCATTACTTGAGGTTCTGTCCACGATACGCTCTTCTACAACACCTCAACGACATCGGATCGAGGTGAGAATAACTATTATAATAAAAACGTATACAGCAGTACAGCACAATGAATGAACTATACCTAGTAGGGTAGGTACTTTCATTTATTGAACAGCTTACAAAACGTTGATTCTGTATAGTATAACAAGAAAATTGTTATACATTTTGATCTTAGGGTGGACAAACATTGGTTTGTAGTACGCGACGGGTCTGTCAAAACAGAACGTCTATTGACGCTTGTGCCCAAGAATCCCAAAAGCGTTCTTGAGTGCACACCAGATACTAGACGTACTATACTAGATCTTTTTCTTACATTACAACATCCGTACATATATCCTGTATTGGACGTAGAGTTTGTTGAAGGCGCAACTGATCCAGAAACAACTTTTATTACATTAGTGTTACCTTTTAACAGCAAGGGAAGTCTCAAAGATCTTATCTATAAGGTATTTTTTAATAATTAAAATAATATCTTATAGATAAAATATAGAAATTATAATTTAATGATACAAATAATTTAGAGTTGTTGGCATGATGATTGGAGCGATAAGTATGGACAGCGCAGTGAAGGTTTGCCATTGTCACAGATACAAAGGCTAGGCCGTCAGATTCTAGAAGCACTATTATTTCTTAAGGAAAGAAAGTTTCCACATGATTGTAATTTACATTCTGGCAATGTAATTCTTCAGAATGGCGTGGCCAGGTATTTTAAAAAAAAATAAAACAGAGTAAAATCATAATTAAAAATGTATTAATAATCTTACAAAGGATCACAGGCCTAGAAAATTCTCTACTTGGTTTTACATCAAGAATTCAACCCATTGTTATGAGTGGTAATTTCATATTAGATGATTTCTCAGCAATTGATGTCATTTGTTTCGGTATAAAATTGTTTTGTATATAATTTGCATTCAAATCTGAAAAAAAAATTTTATTTAGGGCATGTTCTATTTGAAATGGCAGCTGGATATGAATTGCTTACTCCAGAACCCAGTGAAATTAATTTAAGAGATATTGCTCACTATCCTCAAGTAAAAAAATTTAACTTTAAAATAAATAATAAACATTATATTTAAAACATTTTGAAAACCAGCATATTTTTAATTTTAATTTTAGCTATGAATTAATATTGAAATATAATTTTACAGGTTGTTGAAATAATGGACTATGTGTTTAAAAATCCTATGGGTCAAGTACCTACAATTGAACAGTTAGTCATGACTGAATTCTTTAGAAATATTGATCTCAGAGAAATGCGTGCTACATCCTGGCCTGTGAGTATTTACAAATAATAGTTCAGGTTGTATGATTGATACAGCAAATATTTAAAAATAAGATATATATTATTATACATAATGTTCTGTGGCATACATTTGCAGCTATTACAAGCCAAAATGACAGCTTCTTCATCACAGTTATTGGAAACTGTTAGAAACAGAAATAGTAGCAAGAGTGGCTCGTAAATATTTATATTTAAAATTAAATTCAATACACATATTTGGTTACTAATTATAAATTTACAATGTATTGTAGGACTCCAAATAATCATGATGTAACAGAGACGAGCACTAAGGAAAACCTACAAATCAGAAAACTATCAATGTAAATAAACAATTTACCTAAGTTATTAAAATTAAAATGTTTATTTTTATTCATTAATATATGAATAATTTACAGGAGAAGTAAAAGTTGTGACGATGAAAAGTATTCTCATGCAACTGAAAGAAAATCAAATTTTGTTGGTGATAAAGAATGCATGGTAATAAATCCAAATTTTAATCACATTAATGTCTTTTTATACTAATAGACAAGAAGTGATTGCACACCGAGCGTGGAAATATAGAGGGTGCTTTTCAATGACTCATATGTAGGTAGTGTGGGGTAGTATGGTAAAATATAATATATATAGATAATTAGATCATTGTATTTTGTCTTCAAGACAGCCTACATCACTGCAACAATATGTTTGCACGCCGCTCATAATGCTGTTGTTATACACAGATCTTGTCTATTAGTATAAGGTCTATGCTTATACCCAAATGTATTGATAAAATAAGTGTAAAATTGTTAACAATTTTGTAGGAACATCGTGGCTTATCATTGTATCATCGACAACAGTCACTAGACTTCCAGTTTTTGGGATAATAATAGCCCTCTAGTTTGTCTATTAATTTTAGACTGATACTTATTTTCTATTTCAAGCAATATATTTTTACTATTTAAAAATCGTTACTAGGCAATCATGATTAATGCTTACCAGTCATCATCAGAATCAAATTCAGCTTGTGGATCCTTAGACCATGATCCGTCAGAATTAATTATCCAGCCAATTCTGTGAACATTGTTAGCAATAAAAAAGACATGTCAATATTATATGTTTAATATTTAAAATGTTTCTTCAGAAATATATTAAAAATACTTTTTCTTATACTGACTCAATTTCTTTACTGCTGGAAGTCTGTATTGATTGAATGCTATCTGAGGTATTTTTGGACACCGGAGTATGTGAATTAGAGACCGGTCGCTGATAAGGATGTTTTCTAGCACGGTTTATAACATCTTGTAAAGATGGTTTTTTTTTCATTGAAGATACATAGCGTGAAACAATAGAAGATTCTTTAGAATTATCTGAATCTAAAAATAAAAATAAATCATAGGAACAAATACTACTTAAAAATATAATAGGTAAGTAAATTCATTTTATTACCAGCTGGCAGTTCTAATTTTGTTTTACGTTCTGTAGAACTAGTATACAATTTTGAAGCACCAAATGACTGAACGCATTTTTTTTGTTGTTGCTTAATCTTTATTAACTCTAACTCTTCCTTTCTTTCCAAATATTTACTAAGTTCTAAATTAAGAAAAGTGTAATAATTAAACAACAATTATCAGCATAGATTCAAGATAATAATTTAAATTTATTTTCTGGCTTAGGGTAACATTTTAAATTTAAAAAGAACAATATTATTATATTACTAGTTTATTTTTGTCAGTTATAAGTGTCCAAAAGCCACTTAAATAGTTAAGCAAACAACAATAAGTATTTTATTTGAAAAAGTTGCAATAATATTAACCATTAATGATTACACCTAAATCTGTATAACTGGTAGCTATGAATTTGACCTAACTGATACAATGAAATTACTTTTGTTTTTTTATCAAAACTAAATATTTATGTCTGGTTAAACATATTAAATACCACGTCACGTCAATGGATTATTGAAAATGTAATCGATGTCATATTTATTTTTAAACACTACATACCGTTTAAATGTTTTTTTCCTTTTCTGTGAATTGAAAGCACATTAATCGTGTCAAAAATTGGTCTTTGAATACAAATCATACAAGTCAACTTCCCATTGGACAACAATTTAGCTTCACCATCTGGTATTTGAATGCCAAGTAATTCTCTGATCCTTTGTGACTATTGCATAACATAATAATTATAGTTACACAAGGTATTTTAATTATAAATATTTAAAATTGAGAAGGTACCTCAAGACTTTTGAGTAAATCGCTGCCTGATCCATCACATACACGTTTAAATGACATTATAAATGTAATACTACTAGGTACTTATTATATAATTGGATAAAATAAGATAAATAAATTATAAAAGATTGCCTAAAAGAAAAAAATAACAGAAAATTAAAAAGAAATTAATGTAAACAAAATCAAATAAACTTACGGTGAGTAAAAATTGTGTTCTTGTTTTTTGACACAATGTTAACAACACTCTCAAGCTCTTGAACGGTTTCTCCAAGATTGAATACAGTCTATAAAAATTAAGATTCAATTACATTTGAGGAACAAATATGTTTTTTTTAAAAGATGTATTATTAGTAATGCTGACCTTATCTGAACAATCAAATGTTGTTTCAATAATATTTAATTTACCACGTAAATTTTGCACTGCATCTAAAATATTTTTTACACTTAGGCCAACGTCATTTTCTTTGCATGTCAAGTCTATCTAAAAACATTTACATTTAGTGTAAATATATTATCATATAATATGTGTACAAAATAAGATAAATAATATCTATTTTGTAAAATTGTCATGATGATCAAAAAGTTAGTTATGAACTAATAGATGCCATGAATAACAGTGATAAAATTCAATGGTGTAATTGGAAATAGATTTCAAGGTGGGTAGACAAGTTAATTTTCTACAATAGCTTACTTGATTATTTATTTTTAACTCAGCAGCATTCAAAGCTAGCTGTTTGAGTTTACGAGAAGTATTACAACAATGTCTTAATGAAGAGCCCAATTCCACTTCAAACTTGTTGGTACAAGATAAATCAACTACAAAAAACAATTTATAATTAATTACGCGTTAAATAATCAGTTTAAATAAACAATGGTATTATAATACTAGTTTTAAAATTCTTTTGGATGTCATAATCCGAGAATTGTATGAATACTAAGACAGAAACCAGCCCCCGAAGATTATTCTCAACACATCAGGACATAATTCACTTGGATTTTGATAAATTAAAACATAAGCACACGAAGTCGCACATAATATAATATGCATACGTTTAAATATTTTATTCGTATTCAATTAGTCTCGAATAACCAACCCTAGACACCACCAACACAAGTAAATATATTATTATTTTGTTCATACTCACAATCTTCAGCCATTAGAAAATTTATATTCACAATTCCACAATAGAATGAAATTAAAAGTTAACTACTGAGTACTTAAACTTAACTAGTTAACTACAACTACAGACTGTAATACTGTATGTCTGACGTCTGTATACACTGTCTAAACCACGGACTAAGATATACAGGACTGGACACGACAAGGTTGGAGGGTGTGGGGGGTTGACTACGAAATGTTTTACAACAGGCAGTGTTCGGGGGGATATTTTCCTTTTAGCATTACTAGCGCCGTCCTAGTGGATACTTATGGAACTAGAACACATCATACAAATTTCTAGTTCCATAAGTATCCACTAAGACGGCGCTAGTAATGCTAAAAGGAAAATATCCCCCCGAACTCCGCCTGTTGTAAAACATTTCGTAACCACAATATTCATCTCGTGTCCAGTCCTGTATATCTTAGTCCGTGGTCTAAACAACGTTATCACTTATCAACAGTCAAGTAGTAACAGCCACGGTCTAACGACTAACGACTTTTTGTGTAATTTGAATGATACGGTTGTACAGATTACAGAGACCACGGACGTCGGACGTAATGACGTATACCACAATATGGGTAGGTAAAACGATTTACCTAAATCGTGACGTATACACACGGGCGAATGTAAGTTCCCACACGAGATATAGCAGGTAAAAATTACCTCTGGATATCCATACGTAAGTTCCCACACGAAAAAAATTACACTTGTACGTAAGTTCCCACACGAAATTTCAGACACATAATAATGTTTATATACATTGCTTATAATTTTAACTTTTAATTCGTTAATGCTCAGCCTTGCCAAACACAAACCTCCTTCCCACTTTATTCAGACTTAGAACTGACAACTTAAACGTAGTTGGTGTGGTTAAAATTTGTTTTGTTTTTGTACTGCATAAAAAAAAGTCCAATAGAATCTAGTCCGTATAATATATAATGAAAATTAATAATATAATGTGTATAATATTTGTATATGTATAAAATAAAAATAATAATAGAAAAAATCAAATTTTATTAGGTTTATTGCGATAGCTCAAACACTTTATTGTAAAGTGTTATTAGATCAAACAAAATGTGATTTTAGATTCTGAGTGAAACGATGAATGTATTGATTTTACAATGATGTGTGTTTTTTTATTTTTTTTTTATTTTTTTTAGATTCTGAGTGAAACGATGAATGTATTGATTTTACAATGATGTGTGTTTTTTTTTTTATTTTTTTTTTTATTTTTGTGTCTGTCATCACGTTTTAGGACAGTAAAAGTGCTTGGATTTTCTTCATCAGTAGCTTTTCTGATAGGAAAGTGAATCTAGTTGGTACTTTGGGGGGTCAAAAGTATAAATTTCCCAGTAGTTTTCACAAGCGCCGGGAAAAACAACATAAAAATTAAGGAAAAACGGGAATTTTTACGCAAAATTGGTTTTCCAAAAAATCGATTTTGGTTTTTGGTGTAACTCTAAAACAAATGAACGTATATACATGAAATTTTCACTGGTTGTTTATATTTGCATTTTCTATACACGATAACATTTTCAAAATATTTTGATTTATTTTGAACTGTTTAGGGACATTTTCATTTTTCATTTTTTTTTAGTTTTTTTTCTAGAAATATCAATAAAATTTTATTTGTTGGTTGTGAAAGCTTGAAAATTTAATAGAAGGCTCCTAATATGTTGTTTCAAAGGCAGATGAAAAATATTAAAAATCCTTAGTCACAATTTTTTTTTATAAGCACTTAAAGTTCAAAAATTGACAAAATATGGAAAAATCACGAAAATTAGCAAATTATTTTGAGTTAAGAATTCGTAAAAATTTTTCTTTTTAAATCTAAGATTTGAAAATTTAACACAAGATTCCTTATAAGATTATCTACCTTTATCAAAAAAAAAAATGTCTATAAGAAAGTCAAATTAAATTTTTATGAGCGTTTGAAATTCAAATTTTTACAACATTGAATATTCACTCGATTTCCCATGTAGCGATTTCCTTAGTTTGTTGTAATTCAAAAACAAATAACTGTAGATACATGAAAATTTCACTGAATGTTTAAATTAGCATTTTCTATACACCATACAATTTTGAAAATATTTTGACTCTTTTTGAGCTGTTTATGGACATTTACAGCTTTCAATTTTTTTTAGTTTTTTTTTCTATAAATATCAATAAAGTTTTATCTGTTGGGCCAAAAAGTGTAAAAATTTAATACAAGGCTCCTGATATACTGTTACAATAGCAGTTGAAAAATATTAAAAATACATAGGCACAGTTTTTTTTTATAAGCATTTAAAGATCAAATTTTGACAAAATTTATCAAAATCTCGAAAATTATCAATCATTGAAATTAATAAATTATAAAATGTTCAGTTTTTATAGCTAAGGATTGCAAATTTAAAACAAAGGTTCTCATAAATAGTTCATACTGTAACCAAAAAATCTAAAAAATATATGAACACAGTTATTTTTTACAGACATTTTAAATTCAAATTTGGACGAAATTACATATTAAAAAACCTAGAATAACTATTTTAGTTATTTTGTTGTGATTGAATAATATTATTCGTGGGTACTTGAAACTTCTAAAGTGTACTATTATATATCTATGATAGTATCACGGTTTTGTTGATGTATAACGCGTTATAAGTACCTAATGGACATTGTGATATGATTAATTTGGAATTTATTATAGGTACCTATTATAAGTCAATTTTTTTTTAATACCATAGATATAATATGTCTTATGCCTAGACTACTAGACTGACATACCGTCTCCGCTCAGAATCGTTTTTCTTATACAATGATATTATATCGTTGAATTCAAATTTAATATCATCCATTATACAGTGACCCACTTGTAACCTACTGTACAGCAGAGCGACACCCACTTGCCCACCTTTTTTCTATTATTATTATTTATTTTATACCTATACAAATAATGTGTGGAAGAAGAAAAACAAAATAAAATATCAGATTGACTATGTGAGTAATTGACTATGTGAAGTGTTTGAGCTTTCGAAATAAACCAAATAAAATTTGATTTTTTTCTATTATTATTATTATTTTATACCTAAAAAAAATTCGTTTAAGTTGTCATTCCTAAGTCTTAATAACTTAACTTACGTACAGTTGTAATTTTTTCCGTGTGGGAACTTACGTACGGGCATATTTTTTTTCGTGTGGGAACTTACGTACGGGCGTATTTTTTTCGTGTTGGAACTTACATATTATGTACTCGCTTACCTGCTATGTTTCGTGTGGGAACTTACCAAACCCCATACACACGGCATAGATTAAACAATAAACATACATAAATAGCCAACGGCTGCGTGAAATTTGGAAATCAAGTTCTTGGTGACAATACACGGCTCGGGTTGAGCCGCGTACAGAATATTCTCGGGTGGTACAATGCTATATTGCTATAAATTATGATATTATATAGAAAACGTTTAGCAGCGCCATCTATTGTCACCAAATTTTTGTTTCCAAATTCTACATAACCGTTGGCTATCTATGTATGTTTTAATCTATTTTTTTTAAATCTATGCACACGGCGACCGTGCGACGTGCGTACTACGTATACATGACAAATAAACTCCCATGTGTGTCATGTCAGGTTAAATCATAGACATATCACATATACAGTGTTGGGTAGTAACGTAACAAAAGTAACGCGTTACTTTTCTTGTTACGCGTTACCTAATTTCATTAGAATTATTTCCATGTAACGAAAATTACTTTTGAAAAGTTATTTCTATAGAATAACGCGTTACAAATTCAAATTATGAAGTACCTACTACCTACCTACCTACCTATTGCGAATTGAAAAAAAAATCGTCTATAATGAGGGTATTATTATGTTTATGAATCTAATATGTATTTATATTTAATTTTAACTCGCCATAATTCAGTTTTCAATGGTTTTAAATCACTAGAACAGTTAATTAAATTTATTATTTAATTTAATTCCTCTAAATAGGTGGGTACCTTTACAGACGTTTCATATGAATATCTAGCGTGGACTAAACTATACAGGTTTTATAAAGAATTTAGTGTTGTACAAAAATTGTTGAATTTAAAAATACTTATTAGTTATTACTATATTTAGAATTTATATTAGAATATACTAATATAACATTATTTTTCTGAAAATTAAATAAAATCAAAAGTATACTGTTATAAATCATTATAGCCATATTTTGGCAATTTTTAAAATAGTTTATTTTTATAAGTTCTTATTTTGTTCTATACTTATTACCTATGTATTATCATTTTATTTTAGTTTATGATGTTAAGTTTGTGACATAAATACATAATAATATACTTAACTATACCTATAATGATTAATTACCATTGATACGTTGGTACAATTAATTAGTACCATAGATGAAACATACATAGATAGCCAACGGATGAGTGGAATTTGGAAATCATGTTCTATGGTGACAATACATGGCTCGGGTTGAGTCGGGTACAGATCACGAATTAAGATATATCTTAATTTGTGGTCATAACTCATAAGTTATTCCTGTTGTTAACTTACAATATTAAAATACTCATAGCTCGCTTTAAAATTAAAATATAATAAAAAGCCCTAGAGGTTATCTAGATAATAATCTTACCTTTAGATTTTATAAGAGGTCAATTCACTCTAATTTTTAAACTAATGGAGCTACACGTGTTCTGCTTTGCATAGAAATTGCTATGTTACGCAATTGTATGACGGAGACAACACATGCGGGTATCATGTTCTCTTAAACATACTTGCCTACAATACTAAAATTCAGTATTCTGTGAGGCATGGACAATCCCTTCGGCCTTCATAGTCCCCAACCAGATTTTAATGTTCCTAGCTATTTTAATTCTTACTTTATTAGTAAATAATAGTTCTTATTTCTTAGTAGTTATGATATTAATTGACGCTTAGTCTGCATAAAATCTAAAGGTACTGTTGAATTAGGCATAAAATAATATAATATGTATATATATATATATATATATATATATAGTTTTGCTACACAAGAATGTTGCTACAATGCTACCTGTTGCAATACATAAACATTAAAACCATGTTAAGAGGACGTTACACAGATATTTGTTGTCTCCGTGTCTTACAAGTGCATAACATTACGATTAACTCGGTTAGTTTTTTTAAATTAGAGTGAATCAACCAATTATGAACTTGATGATAAGAACATTATCTGTGTTTGCGTGTGGGTTTTTTACAATAATTCAGTTTTTAAGTGAGTTATGAGTATTTTTAATTTACGCTATATTATATAAGCATAACTTACTAATAAATTGAACTGTCGAAGAAAACCCACCGACAAACACAGATAATGTACTTACCATCAAGTTTCATAATAGGTCGATTCACTCTAAATGTTAAACTAACGCACCTAAACGCATTCTCCTATATATACTATGTAGTATGTTACACACTTGTAAGATGTAAACAACTGTGTAGCGTCCTCTTTAGAAAACAATTTTAATATAATACATTAATATGTATCAAAATGTATATAAATAAGTCAGTCAGTTTTAGTAAACAATTAAGTAGCAATGTAAACAACTAGGTTAAGCTATAATAGGTAGACAAGATAGGAATAGACAAAAAAAAGGGTTCTTCGGTAGTGGTTGCTTGATATAAAACTATATAATAAGATATTTATATGTCTTTAAGTATTTAGTACCAGGTTATATGATTGGCGTAACAGTTAGGAAATTCACACATTCTCAAGTTTCTTACTGATAGTTTGAGTTATTTTAAATACAATTGTACAATTATCTAGGGAATGAAAACTATTTAACACTATCATATAAACATAGTATGATGTATGGTGAATTTCCGTATTGGTATGACATCAGAACATTTTGTATCACGTTAATATTATAATAATATCATTAGCTAAGATTATTCTAGTTCACTTTTTCATAGACAGTTAGGGCGTTTATACAATGTGCTAAAACAGTTTTAGATCCTAGGGTACAAGTATTTTAACTGGTAAATAAAACAACTCAAACTATCAATAAAGAAGTGAGTATCAGTAAATTTTAAACAGTTGTAACGCTATTATATTATAAATGTACAAGTGAATAAACACAATAAATGTGTTGTTCTGTGCCAATATCAAATACTGTTATATAATTTATATTGATAACATTGCCTTGAAAGAAATTGTGCAACACCATTCTTCATAATATTGTAGGATCTTGAATGCAATAGATTTTTTTTGCTCATTATTTAAGATCCGTACAAATAATTATAAAGATTTTTTTGACCTATATTTGTGAAAATTATTAAATAATTGCTAAGTAAAAAAAATGCATATAAATAAAATGCACATAAATAAAATGCAAAAATTAGTCTATAATAAAATAAATTTATATTACTATAAAATTAATAAATTAATCATTACATCAAAATATAATTATGATTATGTCAATTATAATGAAACAGAAAATATCTAATATGTAAAATATGAATTTATTAATAATTCTTTTTTGTAATAAAAAAATCATTTAATACTTAATAAAAATAATATATGTGTATAAAAATAATTATCTAAATTCAAGTTAATGTGCGCCCTAACAGATTGTTCAGAAAACACCAAGCTTATGCACGTAGCGCGATTTAATGCCAAACATGACTATAACAATAAATCATTATAAATTGTATAGCAAAGTTGCTAATTAATTAGAATTTGTGATTGTCATTGGTTAATATTTTAATTTTCAATTTATTATGTTACCGTTAAAAATACTGTGATAACTTATAAAAGTTGTGGGAAATTTCAAGCAGATGTCGATTTTTTTGGTGTATTATCATATGCTTTGCGTAATCTACGTCTGAATTCTGATGGAAACTTTTCGTAGCACTTCTTACATGCTGGTTTTAAGTCACATTCATAGAATTTTGTCTTTTGTGTCATTTTTTGATCACAGAATGAACATGCAAAGTGATGCACACACCAAGCTTTGTTCAGAGCAGTAAACACTGAAATTTAAAATAATTATTGATGACAAATTAAAATTGATTAAATGTATATATTGTTGTACTTACCATCACCACCAATTACTTGATTGCATACAAAGCATAAGTTACCAAATAGTTGATGATAATGAGTTTCACAATAAGCCAGACCTTTTCTTTCATAATGCCTATGACCCAAAAACGGTTTTTCACACTTTGCACAAACAAAATGTTCTACATGCCAATGTTTTCCTAGTGCTGTTACAACACGTTCTTCAATGGGTCGCCGGCATGCACCACAAATTGGAATACCCATCTTGTCATGACATCGCAAACAGTACAACTCATTCTAAAAATAATAAAATCAAATGCAATAATTTTAATATATTTTATAGTCTGTTGGTTTCATACCATTTCATTAGCTGTATAACCAGATCTATGTTTCAATTCACGAGCATCTGAATTCAGTTCGACTCCACAAGCCGTGCAATTGAAATGATACCCGTGATAGACCTCGCCTCTGAACCGTAATGGTTTGTCATCGATAACACCACTAAAACAATAAGATGTTGGGCATTTAGAGTACAGTAGGAAATGGTTATCATTTTATCACGTTTTCACATACTGGCACTTGAAACATATGTGTCTACCAGACAAAACCGCTTTGTCTGCAGCATTACATTCGTGACACAGAGCTCTATTACGGTTACGAACAAAACCACGGTCAGCTAGTTCTTTGTTGCACACTGCGCAGCAGAAGCAAGCCGGATGCCAAGAAGCAGACATTGCCTTGATGACACGGCCGATGACAAATTCACCGCATTTGCCACAGCAGGGTGCGAACAGTACTTGAAAGTCATGTTCGCAGTATTTGCGACCTTCAAATTCGTAGAACAGACCATCAGGGAATGGCCGGAAACACTGAGAGCATCTATTAACGGAAAACAAAACCACATAAATCATTGTTACTACATCGTCTCACAGTCGTCGACCGGAAAATATAAGGAATCCAGAATCACTACTCACACAAAACACTGCGGATGCCACAACTCACCCTGCGAGTTGACAATTTTGTCGTGAGGGTCGAAGCCGTCCCCGCAGCGGGAGCACGACATGTTACTGAACGACATGGTTACGCTGAAACGGGGTATCGGTTAAGTCGGGTTGGTTTCGTGACCACGGTCCGGGGTTGTGACACTTACCCAGGCATCGAGATCTGATGTAGTCGTTATTCGTCCGCTGAAGCAACTGCTTGTGGTGGCCTGTGGAGGAAAACGGAAGAATGTAGGCAGGTACAATTGTTATAGGTACGCAAATAAACGAATGAATGAAACTCGCAGACGAGGACTAGGTATATAATAGTAATAAATGGGTGTGCGCCCGGACTTGTTATTTTCTTTTCTACTCACTTCATGTTCCGAAGGCTGTAGGCGTTATATTATGCAGGTACTCCCACGCGCCGAAACTAGAACGTTCCGGAAACCGACTACTTACAACTATTGCTACCACAGGAAGGAGTCACGACTCACGGGCGTCGTAATATAGTACCACTCCACACTCGTAGTTCGTACACGCACACTAACGCCGTAGAATCACGATTACACGACTGCACATTGCTATTTATGGATAACGTCGTGTCAAGGACTTCAGGGAAGTAAACGGAGCGAGTCGACATAATGATAATAATAAAATATTTTCTCGTTTTCGGTTTCGTTTTTTTTCATTCATCAAGTTGGCGCTTCTGTCTCATCCCTACCACCACCCCGCAACCGAAGGTTTCAACTATATTTTCAATTTTGTAACAGAATAAATTGAATAAAATATAAATGAAAATCTGTGATACAGCCGTCAGCCACAGAAATACTTTAATACTGTAGATTAATACTATAGATTTCATCTATTCTGTGATGCTGATGCAGCCATCGGATGTGTATTAACTCATGTCTTTATATATAAATTCTCATGTGTCTCAATGAATAGGTTAATAGATAGCGTCGCGTCACAGGTGTTCTACGGTATAAGCACAGAATAGATAAAAGGTAGCACAGATTTCCATATAGTTTCCGAAGTCTGTGACTGGTAGCCGGTAGCGTACAATTTTGTCGCCTTCCTCCAGGCTCCTACCTATAAATTATAATATCTAGGCTCTCTACTCCTACCCACCCACATATAGATAATATCGATGGCGTAGCGCACAAGTGTGATAAGTGACATTTTTTTGAAAAATGAGTTAAGTGCATAATCAATTTAATCATACAATTCTGCAGTCTGCACATTATGCCGGATCACTACCTTTTGTTCCACAAAACCTTTGTTCCACGATATATTTGTTCCAAATTAATTAAGGTCCAAATCTTACCTTTTGTTCCACAAAATATTTGTTCCGATGGACTTTTGTTCCGCAAAACATTTGTTCCTATGGACTTTTTTTCCATAACCATTTGTACCAATACACTTTGTCCCATGAATATTTGTTCCAAAAAACGTTTGTTCCAAGTGTTCCTAACCGCTCCGCAAATCGAAAATATCCCCCGACTTGCTGTGCAACACCTCCCCAAGTGGGTCACAGGGTTAAGAAAATTGTTTTGTGGAACAAATAGTACAGGCCCCATTATGCCCAAACGTTGTAAGTGAATAGTTCATTATTTACTCCGATAGATGTCGTACAGTTCGTTACATTTTTGAATTTGTTATAACATCTCAAAATTAAAAATCGTTCTCCTGAACAATTACGAAAATGTCACTTATCACACTTGTGCGCTACGCCATCGATATAAATCTTATTATCTATGCCCACTGCAGCCAACTTACAGAGTCCGGGTACTATTTTTTAATCTACGGTACATGCAGCATCTCGACGAATACAGGCCAGCATACCAGTTCTATGATACCAGTTGTAACCTGTAATTATAATAGTTACCGCGGCTGTCGCTGTGGCGCTCTTGTGATTTTTTTTTATCAACAAATCTTAACATATTTTGAATTTTGAATGTTTTTCATGTTGATTGTTCTCGAGAAGTTTAAACTGGTGTCTGGTATTTAGTGTTTATTATTTGCACTGCAGGATATATTGTTAAGTAGCAAAACCGTTAAAGACTTCAATTGGTTTTTAGATATATTCGTTAGAACGTCATTGATAATCGCTGTACAAAACCTTATATTGTTGTATCCAAACCACGGAACTGCAAAATGGAACCTATGGCTCTAGGATCACCGTCACACGACAGTCCACAAAAACCTATCTATCTTCCTGGATACTTGATGGGCGAACGTGCTCAATCGCCAATGGGTAATGTTTCCATTAGCACCATGTCTCCGTTACGTGCAAATCGTAGCCACACTCCGGATGTACACACTACGTTTTTAATGCGCAATTTTCATCATGAACTAAGCGATAAGCCGTATGCATTTTATATAATGATTGGTCTAAAAAAATACTTCATTACAGAGTTTTGTTTGCTTTTTCAGATCTTCCACTCCTATCACAAATAGAGTCAATGATGAACCAACAAAAGCTCCAACAATTGATTTATTTGATACAATAAATACTTCCGACTATAGTGAAAAGCAGTAAATATAATATATTACATATCCTAAATTTAATTTCAGTGATCATCGACTATATATTTTATTAAAACAATTTTTTTTAATACAGGTGTAACAATAAAGTAAACAAACAATTTTATTCTGATAAAAACAATCTGGTTGAACAACCAAAAGCTGCTCCGGGATGTTGGATTACAGTTTTTGGCTTCTCAATTTCGAATAAAGATGAAATATTATCTAAATTTAAACACATGGAGTCTTGTTGTGATGTGAGACAAGCTGGGCCAAATTGGGCACACATATGTTTTAGTGATCCTTTAGATTATCATCGTGCTCTATTATTGAATAGCCAAATAACCAATAATGGAGCTATGATTGGAGTTATTCCATGTAATGATAAGGTAAAAAATATTATGATTTAATACATTTGTAATGTATTTTATATAAATACAATTAATGTTACTTTTCAGACAATTTTAAATGAAAATATCATCAGCCCTATTAATTCACACCCTGGTCCAAGTACTGAAATTTTATCAAAATCGGTGCGCTCACCAATTTTAGGTCAACAATTTTCCAGTCCAAATGATTCAATCTCTAAAAGAAATAATATCAGACCAATGGCTATAAAACCTATACCTATGCAAGGAAATAATGTAAGTTTCCTTGTGATTTATAAACAAATTAATTTTACTATTAATTCTTAGAAAATAAATTATTTTTTATTTTTATTAGAACTCTCCTGCAGCTACAACTTCAAATGGTATTGTTACAAAAACTTTGGAATATTTGTTTGGTTGGTAGGTAAGAAATTTAAATATGCGTAAGACAAAATCATTAGTGGATTTTCAAACCATTGTTTATATTTTATTATTTTAATACATTTTTTTTTTTTAATCAATTGTTTAGTTATTAGTAAATACAATTCTAATTGATTATTGGAATTTCAAACTGATGTAAGTCCTTTGATTATATTATAATAAATATCCAAACCTCTGATAAATGTTTTCTCGTTAAGAAATTCATTATGATCATGCAATAAAGTTTTTGTTTGGTTCATTGGAGAAAATCCCAAAGCTGGTATGCCAACCTATTAAATTTAAAAATATAAGATAGGTATATAATATTGTAAACTAAATGTAGGTACTTATACTTTACATTTCTTATAAATTTGCTATCTGTTCCTGCGGGAAATATACGAGTATTGATTTTCATGTCCCTGAAAATATATCTAAGTTTATTTCAAGTCAAAAAATTATGTGTACTTAAAGGTCTTAAAAAGTTAAACGTACATTTTATCACATTCATTCTTGAATGCAATCCACCATGGATTTGTATTATCAATTTTAGTTGGTTTAACACGAATTGGGTTATCTTTAAATTGAACGTGGACGCCTGGACCAGCATTACTACACCATTCTTCTACAGTTTCCTTCATTTTTTTGATATCTACATCAATTGCTAACCGTATATCAAAAGTAACTGATAATTCAGTTGGCACAACATTTATTTGACACCCCCCATTAATCATTGTTAAGTTTATAGTAGTCACATCTCCAAGTTCTAAATCACTGTTTTGTAGTTTAGTTTTTTCATATTCTCTCCAATTCATAAATTTATTGATAATATATTGTAATTTTTCTCCGGCTGTATTTTCATGTAGTATTGAACCATGTCCAGTCTGGCCAGTACAAGTTATAATTAAATCTATATAAAAAAAAAGTAATTCTTATTTTAAAGTAGATTATAATTTTATTAGTAATAATCTGGTATAACTTACACCAAGAGGTTCTTTCACAATAATATACATCAAAAACCTCAAGCGGTGTTGCTATTCCTTCATCCAGAGCAAAACCAACATTTAATTCTGCAAACTCCGAAGTTGTAACAAATTTAGCCATACCAAACTTACTTCCTATTTCTTCATCTAAATTTACTAAAATATAAATATTTTATTTTTAAAAACAGCATAATTATTGTATTTACCCGGTGTAAAACATATATGTATGGTTCTTTTCAGTTTGAGCTTTTCTGTAATATACTTTCTGATAGTTTCTAAGTATTGAATTCCAACACATTTCATATCTTGTGCACCTCTAGCATATATATTTCCACTTTCATCTTTGTGTGCAGAAAATGGATCATATGTCCACATCTCCTAAAAAAAAATTAATGTTCAAGCTAACATCTACTTAAACTTATTGAAAATAGGTAATAAAAATGTTTTACTAACAGGATACACTGGAACAACATCCATATGAGAGGTGAGTAATAGAGATGACAATTCAGGTTTTTGTCCTATCCATGTAATAATTACAACTGGTTTTTCTGGTGTCATATAAAACACTTTTGACGGAAGACCTAATCTTTGGGCTTGGCGTTCAAGAAACTTTATACATTCACCTGTTTATAATATTTAACTAAATTATTTATTTACTTATTAAATGATTCAATAATATATTTAGATGAAACCAAAAAATACAAACTGTAGTCGACATTTGGTTGAACTGTTGGTATCCGTAGATATTCTCTAAATATTGTCACAGATTCGTGTTCATCAAGTAAACCAGCTGATGACATTTTTAGATTTTAAAAAAAATATTTTTACAAATTATATAACAATGTACAATTTTTAGCAATATTTTGTTAGAACTATATGTTAATTCACTCAGTATTTAATTTCAACTATCATTAAATAATAAATTGGTAACTTATTGGTAATGCAGATTGATAATAAATAATAATTTCACTTAAATACTAAATTAATATGATAAAAGATAATGTCTAGCACTTCTTAATCTGCTGTATACCAATATTAAATATACCATTAAAATCCTTTAAGAATAATATATGACATCAAACTCATTTAGTTATTTGTGCACTTAATGTTAAATAATGATAACAGTATAATTAACTAGGGTTTAAATGTTGTTTATTGTAGATGTATTGAAATGTTAATTTAAATTATATTAGATAATACAAACATGTATTTGTAAATTATTAAGGTTCTATTGTTATTCTTGCTATCAGTTTATTTAAATTCATCTTTTTTCTGCACACAAAATTGAAAGTTGAAATATTTATTAGGCAAAACTAAATATCCTAGGTATTTTTGGCACCGGTCCAATGTGCGACCTACACATACATTTTCAGCCCAGTGTGCGACCTACATATGGGTATTGACCTATACTGCATTTTTAATAGTTATTAATTAATTAATTATTTTATCCTTTAAATTTATAAATATTAATAGTTATTATAGTTATTAATTCATTTAAAATTATTATTTTATAATTAATTATCTTTCTTGTTTGATAAGAATTCATCGTAATTTTATGTAGGTATAATTTATGTCATAAAAACATCTTTCATGTCTGATAAAAATTTGTCAAATATAGTTTGCTTGTTTGGGTGAAGAGATCTCTACCACTCCTCTTTAAGTTGTCTCGGTAATAATGGAGATGTTTACTCTTATTTCATATCGCTTTTTCACTATTTTCCACAAACATTCTATGGTTTGGGTATTGGCATTTGTATCAGGATCAATAAACCATTTTTGATGAATCACAGTACTGTGTATGTACCCTTCATTGTTTAATGACGAATAAGCTCTCCATTCATCCCTATGGATTATACTTCCTAGTTCTACTTCATTTTTAATTATAGGTATTAATGAAAATACACACATTGGCCGTAGGTCGCACATTAGCCCGGCAAAAATAAGGATAGGTCAATTATCAGTTGTAGGTCGCACATTGGACCGGTGCCGTATTTTTTGGTACAGGACGTGCCTTCATACCTTAAACGTCCATTTTGTGTATATTAATATACCTCAACTGTTGTGGCTATATACATGTGTATTATAAAAAAAAGACTGAGGGCTCTCGAGGATTTTTAAAAAATGCCTTAATGCTATTAGCCGTAAAAATAGATTAAATACTACTTCTCTGCAACATTCTTATAATTGTAAAATGTTCAAAAACTAAAGCTCAAATGTGGTGCAGCATTAGCCAGATTAACTCAGCAACACTGTTTAGGACTTGTAAATAAATAGTTATTATATGGCTACATTTTGTTAAGTCACACATTTTATTAGAATATTAATTAGTTTTTAGTGTTTTAAAAAACATTACCAAATTAAGTTTTTTGTTTATTATAATTTGTAAATTATTATATTAAATATTATGGTGTCATAATTTGTACATCAATTTATAAAACAATGTTTGGATTACGCTAGTGTATAAAAAAATACAATTTAATATTTCTGCAATATTTTTTGTTTAAAGCAGCAAAATTTAATATTAAAAGAAACAGTTTTTAATTAAAATATTGTGAATAAACAATAAAACAACTTATTAAAACATAACATAACCAACAAAGTTTATAACTCGATTTTTAAAGAACTAATAAAACAATTACATTTATAGTTTATATATTATTTACTATTTAATACTTGGTAAATACATAAATCTTTTTTTTTATCTCGATTTTTTAAATAATGATTTATAATATATTCATTATATAGTAGAATTTCAGTAATCTGGCAGATATCAGACCAGAGTACTCCCGGATTAACAAATCACCAGATTGATGGAGGTCCACATAAAAACAAAAATTATCTTTTTTTTTTAAATTATGCTTTTTAGAGTTTCTTATAATATATAAGCACCAAAATGTCACTTGCAGATACTTTGTTTTCTTCTGTTTGATGGTTATTATAAGTTAAAACGAAAAAATATAGCTTGATTACTGGATGTACCAGATTATTGCAGGACTACTATACAGTGTGATCACGATAAGTGTAAACACGCAATAACTATGTGCAGGCTTCATATATTTCAATTTTGATTTTTTGGAAAACTAATAAACATTATTAAACACATTTTTAAATAATTAGACAATTTTTGTGATAATTAATTTGGCGCATGCTCATAATCATTTTTTAATGGCGTGACCTATTTTTGACCACAGATTATCTTTTTTTTGTATTTTTAATGAATTTCTTTTCTTACTTAAAATATGGCCGAGTTATAGTAATCTGATTTTATGTTATTTACATGGTTGTATTTTTATTTTACTTATTTATTATAATAAACTACATATTTTATAATCTGTTATACCCATGCAAATAACATAAAAACAGATTACTACAACTCGGCTTTTTTTTAACTTAGAAAAAAAAATTCAACCACTAAAATTCATTAAAAATACAAAAAATAATAATTTGTGGTCAAAAATAGGTCATGCCATAAAAAAAAAATTATTGTGTTCATGTACAGAATTAACTGTCACTAAAATAGTATTTGAAAATGTGTATAATAATGTTTATTAGTTGGCCAAAGCAGAATTGAAATATATGAAGCCTGCAGTCTGCACATGTCATTGAGTGTTTCCACTTATCATGATCACACTGTATATTATTTAATTATAACACATTTTTAACAAAAAATTTAAATAAATAGAACTAAATTTAAAATGATTAAACTCAAATTGTTATTTTTTTTTTTATATAAAGTAAAATCTGAGGTATAATATTCTTATAATTAATAACAAATATAATGTTTCATCATTAAAATTAATTAATATAATAAGATAAATAAAAAAAAAAAAAATTGTAACTCAAACAGATGCAAGGCTCTTGATAATATTATAATAAATATCTATGCCGTCCAGGAATGTCTTCTCATTCAAAAATTCATCATGATCATGTAAAAGAATAGGAGTATTATTTATTGGTGAAAATCCTAAAGCTGGAATACCAATCTGCAATTAAAAAAAAATTAATTAATATTGATATAGTAATTGAATCTTTTAATAAACACAACTATGTTTAATTAATCTCCATGTATGAATATGTTTATAGAAAATCTGATTTAATAATATTTTAATTTTGCATCAATATATATTATTACTAAAAGAATGTTGTACATGTGCATGTGTTGTTTCCGTCTTACTAACATACTGAAATTAATGTTTGTCAGTTCCAATTTTGTGTTAGTTTTAATATTAAAGTGAATTGACCTATTACAAAACTTAAAAGGAAGAACATTATCTGTGTTAGCCTGTAGGATTTTTACATATTTTGGTTTTTGAGCAAGTTATATTTAGGCGTATAAAATATTTATATTTAAAAATTCTCACAAGCTAATGTAACTATTGCTAAACTAACAAACACAAAATCGAAACTTCTGAATGTATGTATGTATGGCATGTGTTTGTAAGACAAAGATAATACATGCAAGTATGACAGACTTTTTTTTTATACTATTTATTTTTATTTATTTATTTTATTTTAAACAAACACACATTAATATAATAACTTAAATAGTATATTTGTACAATGTTGATACCTAATCTCTGTAAGCAGTGCTTGTGGCGAGATTAGGGAGTCTTAAATAATATTAATAAGTTGAAGTTAATAATGTGATAATGATAAATACATAAAAAAAAATTTCCTCTTAAACATTTCAGTAATATAGTGTATAAATACCTCTCTAATATATCTACTATCTGTTGCGCCAGGAAAAATATACGTTTTTGTTTTCAAATTCCTAAAATTGAAATTAAAATTAGTTTCTCATCAAAATAATTGTTTGATACAATTAAACAATTCATGTTTTTGCCATTTTAAAATATTAAAACTAAAACAGTTGATTAATTATTTATTTTAATGTTGACTATTCATTAAAACATTATGCAATAAACCACCGATATTGTAATACATTTCAGTGACCTGTTTATAATTTTTCTACATTTTATTACAAAATTGGTAAAATAAATTACAAATAAAAGAAAATAGTCATGAAATTATTTTACTAATAAGTAATAATATTTTACCCCAATTAAAATTACAATATTTTATTTTTTTATAGAAAATATTGATAATTTAATGTTAATACTTACATTTTATCACACTCGTTTTTAAATGTAACCCACCAAGGGTTTTCTGGTGCAATTAGTGTAGGTTGTATGAATGCGCTTTTACTCATAAACTCCATAGTTACCCCTTCACCAGCTTCCTCACACCATTCTTTAACAGTTTTTTCTATTGTCGTAACATCTACAGCAATACTCAATCGTACATCAAAACTAACTGTCAACTCTGGTGGCACCACATTAATTTGACATCCTCCATTTACCATCGTTAAATTTATTGATGTAACATCTCCAGAATGCAATTTACAAGTTTTCATTCTTAATTTTTCGTGTTCCCTCCAATTCATAAACTTGTTAATGACATATTGCAGCTTTTCTCCAGCTGTATTTTCGTGCAATAAGGACCCATGTCCAGGTGTACCAGTACATTTTATTTGGAGATCTATCAATCAACAAAAATTACATTTTATAAGAAATTAACATATAACTGTATGAAATTACTAACGCCATAGAGTTCGTTCTCCATAATATATACTGAAACTATCATCGCTACTAGCCAATCCTTCATCTAATGCAAAACCTACATTTAATGATGCAAATTCAGGGGACCTAACAAACAATTTCATTCCCAAATGTCCACCCGTTTCTTCATCTAAAACAAAATTTCAATAAAACTCATTATCATAATGTTAGTACAAAATTAAAAACATACAAACCAGGCACAAATAACATATGTATAGTCCTATCAAATACTAATTTATCTTTTAAATATTTTCGTATTGTTTCTATGTATTGTATTCCAACGCATTTCATATCTTGTGCTCCTCTAGCGTAAATGTTTCCATTTTTATCTTTATGTGCAGAAAATGGATCGTGAGTCCAAAATTCCTATATACAAAAACAAGGAAATTATTTCAATTATTACAGTTGTTAATTATATAAATAATAAACTTAATCAAGATGTTAGGAATCCAAAATTCTACAGTCATACTACATTACATTTTTTAAATACTGAATGTAAAGTGAATTTCTATATCAATAAATACCTTTTTCTTAAATTAAATTGAATTATTATTATCATAAATAAACACAATATATTTAAATACTTATGTTCCTAAAATACAATCACTTGTTAGTAATTAAAATTAAAAATAGAAGCTAGTTCTAATGGTAGCTAAAAGAATTTATAGTATAATAATATTTACAGAATAAACTGGAACAACATCCGTATGAGAGTTAAGTAGTATAGAAGGAAGTTCTGGTTTCTGCCCGAGCCATGTTATCACTACTATTGGTTTACCAGGGGCCATATAATAAATATTTGATGGAAGATTCAGGCTTTGGGCTTGACGCAATAGAAATTCAACACATTTACCTACAGGAAATAAATATATTATTTTGTTTTTTTATATTTATAACAATGAATAAAATAAAATGTACATACTATAATCAACATCAGGGTGAACGGTGGGAATACGTAAATATTCTCGGAAATTAGTTACAGCTTCGTTTTCATCACCATCTTTGATGGAAGACATTTTTCTTCGTTTTGTTTTTAAAAATTCAGCCTATATTATCATGAAATAAAGCAAATAAATATTACTCAAATAAAATAACCATTATTTTAAATTTTAATTCTATTTAATAGGTGCCTAATATTGCCTGTTGTTAATAAATAGCATTACAAATCATTAAAAAAGTTTGGATTAACATGCATAAAAAACTTAAAGATTAGAAAATATGTTTTATTTTATTAAGATAAATAACGTTCATTTAATACTTATGTTATTTAATCAGTAATTAACAAGTATTAGTTACAAAATAACTATGTACTGTAAGTCTTAACTCACCCACAAAACATCATTTATTTGTATTCTCTTTTTAATCTGTTTACCTACTTTACATACTACTCAATATTAGTTTATCATAATACTAATTATTAATACACTTTTTAGCGAGGCTGGGCGTTAACGAGTTAATAAGTTACAAGATATTTTTAACTTATTAACTTAACTTACCACTTGCTATTTTAAATTAATTTAACTTTAATTTAAGTCATTTGTATCTACTTTAACTTAAAATCAACTTATATTATTTTTAATATTCCCAATTAAGTTAATTCGGAATTTTCATATTATCCAAAAAATATTATTTGAAAAAAAAATATATTTACGAAGAATTTTGTATATATTTTTATAGATAAAAATTAATAAGTTGTATTAATTTACTAATTAATAATAATATAGGGGTAACAATGCAACATAAGTGGCCCATATAAAGACATCAATAGATACGAGCCCGCGAAGCCACGATTCATTATATCTACTTATTAGGTGCTCATTAGATATTAGTTAACATTTATTATTCATCAAGATTTAATACTATAATCATGATAGTGACCATTTAAATTTATATAGTATATTTTATATTATAATACTATACTGGTTTGTGTATAATACTTTTATACATTCATAGTTAGCAACAGACAAGACAGTACTATGAGCTATAGACTGGACGTGGACATTTAACATCAACAACGTAAAGAATTAATTAATTAATTAATTAAAATTATAATTAACTGACATATTGTTACCTACAATCCATTAATCTTTTTTAAACTATTCATTAAACTGATTTAAAACATACCCAATTTTTAATATTTGTATTATATATGTTATACTGTATTTGCATTCCCCATGGTCATACAAAAATAAATAATAAAACATTAAATATCATAAAAGAAATAACTGAACATAGTTTTTTGAAAAACTCAAATATATTTTTAGTCTTTAGCACTTTTGTACAATTAATGATACATTTTTAGTACAACTATAGGCTACAATTTATTATTATTTGAAGATATAAAACTAAAAGTTATTTTCTAACCTATTGATTTCTTGATTTGATAATTTATTTGATTTTTTTTTTTTAGTTAAAAAATTAAATACTTACAAAATTAACTACAATTTTAACTTTGTAAACAAAATAATTAAATTTAACTTTAAGACAAGACTTAAACCTAGCCAAATCCCCAAATCCCCATACATAGCCATTACTAATAATAAATATTTAAAAAAATATGTTGCCAGCAAGAATACAAAAATAAATATAATTAATATAACAAAACAAATTTCAAACAGATGTGATTAACTATTATATTAGTTAGATTTCATACCAAGGTAAAAGTACACCAGGTCAGATACAATGTTTAAAATTAAAATTAATTAAATGGTACTAATTTAAAATTGTTATTACGATGATTTAATGAATAAAGCCTTAACCTGAACACAAATTTGGTTTTAATTATATTTTATTAAACCTGCTGTGAAATTAAAGTTACATAAATGTTTTCCAAAATAAATACATTCAAGCATACAATTTTTTAGTTTTAGTTATTAGAAATTAGAATACAAATAAAGCAAATACAGTTCTGTGCTGGCTTTGGTTAGACAAATTAATCATAACATCTGTGCTAATTTGCTAATTAAGTGAAATTATTAAATTTTGTATATGATTAATTGGAAACTATTCAAAATACATTTAAATTTCAAAAAAATAAATTTTAAATGTCGATATACCTAATATGTTTAGTGTAAAAAATTGTTTGTTAAGACATTAAAAAAAAAATACAATATGTCGCATTCAACAAATATTCTCACCATGATATTATTATAATAATATTATGTTTTAAATTATACATTAGTAAGTTGAACGGTTGTATTCCATTATTGATCATAACACAAGTCAGCACTTTGTGTTTGCCTGTATAACAAATGTGAATGGCAAAGAATATAATATTAATAAAACCTAAAACTGAATAAAATATATAATCCTGCTATAATTTTCAACTGTAATTTATTAAAATAAATAAGAACACACCCAACATCAGTTTAATCAAATCCCGATCATTACATCACAACAGCATATTATAGTTTCTATTGCAGCCCTTCAATAAAATTATGCTTTGACAAATAATTTTTAAATAAAGAAATCCTGCTAGTAATTGGATAAACACTCGGCGAGTGGTACAGCTGATATATTAATATTTAATACCAAAAATTATTAAGCGAGAAATTTAAAAAATTTCATACATTTAATACGTAATAATATTCATAGGTAAACATTTGAAAACTAACAAAATATATAATATAATATTATAAATCTTAATAATATCGAGTCAAACATTACATAATATTGCGGCGCACGACTTACCTGTTATAAGTGTATACTGTGTAATGTAAGTATAATATGATGTAATATACACCACCACCTCAGAAAATGTTGGACAAATTGTTAATTATATAATATAGTAACCACTGTGTGTATGTATTTTATGGGTTCGACACTAATTACCTCTCGTCAAATGCCAATTCGCACATAACACCGAATGTTTAGTATATTATATTATGTATGTGTGTGTGTGTGCGTGTCGTAGAGTTAATTGGTAGTAAGAAAAAATGTAATAGTTATTGCCCACTTAAAGTCCTACATCATAATATATTATAATTATATATTAAATATTCTGATATTCATTCGTTCGGGTCACGTTATCACGCACGTACGACGATAGCTGCTGCTGTCATTGCTAATAGAACTCCAATATCGTTTTCTCCCGTACACGAACACGCATATTATTAGTTATTACTATGGGTATGATACGTGTTTTTTGCGAATATTCCTCAACCGGCTATCGCCCGCGGCGCAGGAATGCATTCGACGACAAACTGACGAAAAAAATCGACCTCGGGGTACACAGCGCCTGGCGCCTGCCGACTGGTCAGTGGCAGTGAGTGACCACCACAACTGATTGCCGTTCTCTGTTTTCACTATATTCGTTTTACTCGGCCGCGACTTGGGCTTACTATACCGTCCGAGTCCGACCATGATGATTTAATAAATCATTTTATTTCGTCACACCGCGGCGGTGTCCGACGACAGAGCGTCTCCGCTCTCCGCGCTACGCCCACAGAAATACAGAATACTAGAATAGGCGAAACTGAAACACTTATACCTAGGATTCGCCTATTCTCTGCTACGCCTGTCACTCGTCACTCGTCAGTAGTTGTAGGCGGCCCGCGCAATTGTTATATTTTATTAATAATATTCCTTTTCTGTAAACATTACCCACCGTTATCATCAGTCGTATTTTGCGGCCGCGATCCTCTTATCACCATTTTGACGACGAGCCACGAGCGACGCCGCGCCGCCGCCGTTTTCTAATTTTCTATTCTATCAGCGGGTATTGTGCTTAAAAGTCCGACGAAAAAAAGTCCGGTCAAAATTTATATTTATATTACACACCAAATACACAGTCACAATACAATACAAATTTAAAATATTAAAATTTATATTAATTATAACTACTACATCCAAAATATTACATAAATTATATTTTATTATATGAAAAAATTAAATAAAAACTCTTCGACACTTAACTCAGAGTTTTTAACGCATGATGTTTAATGTTGTTAATGAATTCTTATAAATATTCCATAAATACAATAATAATAATAATAATAAAAAGGTGGGCAAGTGGGTGTCGCTCTGCTGTACAGTAGGTTACAAGTGGGTCACTGTATAATGGATGGTATTACATTTGAATTCAATGATATCATATCATTGTATAAGAAAAACAATTCTGAGAGGAAACGGTATGTCAGTCTAGGTATAAGACATATTATATAGTTATCTATGGTATTAAAAAAAATTGACCTATAATGAATTCCAAATTAATCATATATTCATATCACAATATCCATTAGGTACTTATAACGCGTTATACACCAACAACAAACCCTGATACTATCATAGATATATAGACATATAGTAGTATACTAGTATACTTCAGAAGTTTCAAGTACCCACGAATAATATTATACAATCACAACAAAATAACTAAAATAGTTTTACTAGGTTTTTTATTATGTAATTTCGTCCAAATTTGAATTTTAAATGTCTGTAAAAAAATAACTGAGTTCATATATTTTTTAGATTTTTTGGTTATGAACTATTTATGAGAACCTTTGTTTTAAATTTGCAATCTTTAGCTATAAAAACTGAACATTTTATAATTTATTAATTACAATGATTGATAATTTTCGATTAATTTTGATAAATTATGTCAAAATTCGATCTTTAAATGCTTATAAAAAAAAAATATGACTATGTATTTTTAATATTTTTCAACTGCTATTGTAACAATATGCCAGGAGCTTTGTATTAATTTTTTACACTTTTTGGCCCAACAGATAAAACTTTATTGATATTTATAGAAAAAAAAACTAAAAAAATTGAAAACTGAAAATGTCCGTAAACAGCTCAAAAAAAGTCAAAATATTTTCAACATTTTACAGTGTATAGGAAATCTTGTAGTACATTTTCAAATCTTAGATTTAAAAAGAAAAATTTTTACGAATTCTTAACTCAAAATAATTTGCTAATTTTCGTGATTTTTCCATATTTTGTCAATTTTTGAACTTAATATAAAAAATTGTGACTAAGGATTTTTAATATTTTTCGTCTGCCTTGGAAACAATAT